GAGCCCTGGTCTGGGAGGATCCCACATGCCACGGAGCACTAAGCCCGTGCACCACAACTACTGAGCCTGCATGCCTAGAGCCCGTGCTCCTCAACAAGAGAAGCCATGACAATGAGAAGCCCGCGCACCACAGTGAAGACCCAACGCAACCAAAAATAAATATCAAATAATAAATAAATTTTTTTAAAAAGTTGATCTTCAAAAGAAAACCTCTCATCTTTTACACAATTAACTGAATGTGAAATAAACAGCGGGCATCACTTCTTAAATGGAAAATAAGCATTGCCAGCCTATGTTTTTATTACAAATATTATAAATATTGTATAAAGATGAATTCTATAATGCCACCTTAATTAAATAGCAATCTAAATACCTTTTCTTTAAAGTTACATTTATATGCAAAAATTACACAAAATTAATTGCAAAACCACACAATGAAAAAATTAAGTTATTATTAAAATTCCTAAGAGCTTTGAAGGATTATATACTACTATGAAAATAGTTTGTGAATCCAAAAGGGAAAACGTTGAATTAATGTTTTCTAAGATTTCACCCAGTCCTGGAATACTATAAATACTTCCCAAGCATCATTTTTAAAAAGATAATGTCTGCCCACTTCACCAGGTTTTTGACATTTTGATGGTTTGTTTGTTATAATACAAAAACATAACAATATTGATATCGGTACCATTTTCCTTAAATTGTTAACATGCACTGCCAGGACCTAAAAAGGGAAACAAGAAAATAGACGGTGGGAAGATTCGGTACTCACCGTCTTAGAATACCCTTTATCAGAAACTTGCAATCACTGGGACAGCGGATTGCGTACTTTGGAAACTATGCCCAGTTAAACAGATGACTCTTAAACACCTTACGGAAAACAAAAAAACAGGAGGAGAAGCTCATAATTCTTCAATTTATAACCGACTAAAGTTATTTTGGTATATTTCTTAACAGTCTTTTCCTATAATTGAAGTCATAGTATACACACAATTTGATATTCTTTTAAAATTGTCCTGAGCACTTTCCACATTGCTATACAGCCTTCATTATTTTCACTTTCAATGGCTGCATAATAGCCCGGAAAGTGGAGGGATGCAATACTCCCCTACTATTGGACACGTAGGTTCCTACTTTAAATAATGCCTCGATCATGGCTTCTAACCTATTTTGTGTTGTTTTCATAGACTAAATATCCAGAATTGGGGTTATAGGTTAAAAATATCACCACATAATTTATAGATTTGGATATACATTACTAAGTTGCTTTTGAAAAGGGTTTTTATTACTAGTTTAAAGCATCATGGATGATGAGCACATGCTCTCTCTACAGCATATAGTGGTATCATTTAAATTTATTTTCTAATTTGAAAGGCAAAAAAGGTATCTTGCTTTAATATTATTGATTACAAGTGAAGGTAACAAATTTTTATATGTTTGTTCAGTAGCCACCTTTTTTGTGTATTGTCTGTTCATGTTTTTCTTATTGGAATAATTATATTTCTTTTTTAAATATTTGTATGAACTGTTTATTAAGATACTAACTACACATATTTCTCCTAAATTTTTTTTTTTATAAATGTATTTATTTATTTGGGGGCTGCATTCGGTCTTCATTGCTGTGCGCGGGCTTTCTCTAGTTGCATTGAGCAAGGGGCTACTCTTTGTTGCGGTGCGCTGGCTTCTCATTGCGGTGGCTTCTCTTGTTCTGGAGCACAGGCTCTAGGCGTGCGGGCTTTAGTAGCTGTGGCACGTGGGCTCAATAGTTGTGGCACATGGGCTCAGTAGTTGTGGCACATGGGCTCAGTAGTTGTGGCGCACGGGCTTTGTCGCTATGTGGCATGTGGGATCTTCCTGGACCAGGGCTCGAACCTGTGTCCCCTGCATTGGCAGGCAGATTCTTAACCACTGCGCCACCAGGGAAGTCCTAAATTTTTTTGTTTTAAAATTTTTGTGACATATTGAAATGTCTAATCTTTGTTTTTTATATCTGTTTTTTCTTTGTGGTTTCTTCTATTCTTTTTAAGATGAAACAAATTCCTTTCTGTTATGGGCTGAATTGTGCCTCCCCCCCACCCCCAGCCCCCGCCAAATTCATATGTTGAAATCCTAATCCCCAGTACCTCAGAATGTGACTGTATTTGGAGAAAGGACCTTTAAAGAAATAATTAAGTTAAAGTTAGGTCACTAGGGTGGGCCTTTATCCTGCATGACTGATGGCCTTATTAGAGGAGGAGATTAGGACACAGATGAACACAGAGGGAAGACCATATGAAGAAACAGGGAGAAGATGGCCATCTACACACCCAGGAGAAATGCCTCGGAGGATTTGTTCGGTTCCCTGCTGACAACTTGATTTTGTAATCCTAGCCTGTGAGATCATACAAGAAAATAAATTTCTGTTGTCTAAGCCACTCAGTTTGTACTACTTTATTATAGTGGCTCTATCTAACTAATACACCTTCCAACCCCCTAAATTCCATAAAATTCTATTACAATTCTATTTTATCTCCTCTATGGCTTTATTTTTTCAATTTACTTCTAAAATTTATATGTATTTTTGTGGAGTCTAAATGGGTATTTTCTCCAAATTTCTACACAGCTAAACCATCTTCAGGCATTGTTGTCTATTTCAATACTGAGTTATTTTGGCCTCAGCAAAAGAATTGTCTGGGGCTTCCCTGTTGGTGCAGTGGTTAAGAATCCGCCTGCCAATGCAGGGGACAAGGGTTCGAGCCCTGGTCCGGGAAGATCCCACATGCTGCGGAACAAATAAGCCTGTGCGCCACAACTACTGAGCCTGTGCTCTAGAGCCCGCGAGCCACAACTACTGAGCCCGCGTGCCACAACTACTGAAGCCCGCATGCCTAGAGCCCGTGCTCCACAACAAGAGAAGCCACTGCAATGAGAAGCCCGCTGCACTGCAACGAAGAGTAGCCCCCACCCTCTGCAACTAGAGAAAGCCCGCATGCAGCAACGAAGACCCAAGACAGCCAAAAATAAAATTTAAATAAAAAATTAAAAAAAAAAAGAATTGTCTGGAATATCCTGGGACCTAGGCAAAACTTTCTCAGATCTCTGTGTAGGAAGTAATTTCTTTTCTTAAGAACCTCTTCTTAGATATGGGAACATATGTATATGTATAACTGATTCACTTTGTTATAAAGCAGAAACTAACACACCATTGTAAAGCAATTATACCCCAATAAAGATGTTAAAAAAAAAAAAGAACCTCTTCTCAAGGGCTTAATTCTTGTTTCACAAACATTTGTGAACTCTCCCCTAGTTGACCACAGAAATCATTTGTGAACTCTCCCCAGTAGACCACAGAAACCACTTATTCATCTGTAGTATTTCTGTAGGCAGAGTGTGGTATGCACAAAGGAAGGACTGATGAAAGTGAGTCAAGTAAGGTCAGCTCTCAATCAGATCATGGGTCACTATAGGCCAGCAATAGTCAGAGGGTCCCTGAGGCCTTTTCGGGGGGTCTGTGATTTTGAAGGTATTTTCATAACAATAAGATGCTACTTGCCCTTTTCACTGTGTGGACATTTGTACTAATGGTACAAAAGCAAGGTTGGTTAATACTGCTGGTACTTAAGCGTGGATCAAGGCCACACATTGACAGGAAACAAAGTTTCATGTAAAAATGTTCTTTATGAAGCAGTGAAAATTGTTAATTTTAAGCCTCTACTCGTAGTACATATCATTTTTTTTTTTTTAATTCGGCCATGCCACGTGGCATGTGGGATCCTAGTTCCTCCACCAGGGATCGAACCTGGGCTCCCTGCAGTGGAAGGGTGGAGTCTTAACCACTGGACCACCAAGGAAGTCCAAGTACATATCCTTTTTAATACTCTGTGGGGTGACATGGGAAGTATGCATGAAGCATTGCTACTGAATACGGAAGTACATTAGTTGTTTCAAGGAAAAGCATTTGTATGATTATTTGAATTGCTAGCTGAACTCACTGTTTTTTTCGTGGAACTTTTTTTGAAAGCACGACTGACAAATTATGATTATTTAGACTTGGATACTTGGCATACACTTTCTTGTGAATTCAAGAAGGAAAACTATCATTTCAAGGAAAATAATTGACATTTGTTGCCAATGCTTCAAATTCAAGCTTTTAAGCACAAATTAGAATTTTTCAAAAATTTGTATCTGCCATCTGAGGTTGACAACTTTCCAACACTTCAAAACTTTTCTGATGGAATCTGTGATGATATTAACAAGTGGACTTTTGGAGATGTTGTATAATGAAGCCACATTGCAATTAACTTTTCAAAAACTACCACTTGTTGAGTTTGGACCACATTTTCTTTATATACTTAACAAAGAAACAAAAAACAACATATACCAATAGATTGTATGCAGAAGTAGATCTGGGACTCCCCTTTTCACTGTTCAGGTGGACAGTGAATAGATTTGCAAACAAAGCCAGTCTTTTTACTTTTCTTTATTTTGGAAATAGTTATTTTTCATTAAAATATTTATATAATGAGTTCATTTTTTTCAGTATATTTTTTAGAAACTTAGTTCTAATTTCTAATATGGTAAATATCAATAGATAATTCATATAACCAAAAGGTCTTTGGGGTCCTCAATAGTTATAAGAGTTTTGTAAAGGGGTCCTAGAGCCAAAAGTTTGAGAACTCCTATGCTGCTGTAAGCTAACTCTTATGGCGGTGAAACCTAATTCTTTGAGGGATCCTTTCTAGTGGCGGTGAAACAGGTCAGAATCTACCAAGACTTCAAGTTAAGGCTCTACACAGAAAAGACTTAAGACTTGGGGCTCAAGGCGGTGGCGGAGGCATAGCCAAGACTGCGTCTCCGGTCTCCCTGGAAACCACCCTTCTCAGGTCTCCTGGAGCTCGCCCTCCGTTCCTCTCCGCCTCTCATTGGAGCGGGTTAAGTCAGTGGGCGGTCTGTCGGGAGGGGGTGGGGCTTCATTTCCTTCCGGGGCCCTCTCTCAGGAACGTACGGACGTCACGCAGGACGCCGCTGCCCTGACGCTCCGCCTTTGCATCCCCCACTGAGCCCTCAGTAGTTGGCGTTGGCCCTCAGTGGGGAAGCAAGCTTTTTCCCTTTGGAGGCCTGGGGTCCCGCAGCCTCTATCCTACCTGGCCTGGCCTGGCGCTGCCCAGCGCGTCCGTGCCTCCGTCATGGATCTGAATTTAAACCGAGCGGATTATTTACAGGTAAACCTGAGGGGTTGGGGCGGTCGCTGCGCGGGGTGAGCTGCGCTCCCTGAGAGGATTCGATCCTTCCACTGGCGTCTGTTGGGGTGTCTCGGCGGCGACGCGGCGGCACAGGAGCGGATCTGGGTGCCACCCTCCAGACACCTTGCTCACGGGTAACTCCGGCTTGTTGGTGACGGTCCACGGGGACTTGGAAAGAGGGAGCACGCGCCTCCGCGGTGCTGGCGTCTGCCAGGTCCTGAAGATGCTCTGAATGTCCTGATGCGCCCCCGGATTCCTCCCCGGGGCCCTTCTCCTCCTCCCCGGCTGCAGCTTCTAACTCCCTGATCTCCATCTGTACCCAGTCCCTTCTGCCGAGCGCCAGACACTTGTTTCTTACTGTGAGCCGGACCCCACGAGCCAGATCATAATAAAAGCAATGACAGCCGTTTTCGAGCGTCTAGTTTATTCTCAGATCTTAACACACGTACATATATTTAATCCTCATAAAAATTCCTAAAGTAGGTACATGAGGATCAAGGGGCTCAGAGAAGGTGATTTACATGATATCGGAAAGGATGGAGTTCCTATTTGAAACAAAGCCTCTGACTCCAGAGCTGGTGTTCTTTCTGGTACATCACCCTGCCTCTCAATATTTCAGCCCTAGACTTTCTCTCCTTCTCCATCTCCTTTTTTCAGTAATCCTATTTTGGCTAATGGTACAAATGTTTGTCCTGTCACTTTCCTTGAGAGTCATGCTAGGTACTTCCCACCTTAGTATCTTCCATATCCATCTGGTCACCACATTTTGCTGCTTTTACCTCCTAAATATCTCACGAATCTGTCCCATTTGCTCCCTCCATCTCTGTTACCCCTAGTTCAGCCCTCATCTTCTCTTGCTTGGATAATTGAAATAGCTCCTAGCCTCCAGCTTACCTCCCTCCAAGACATCCTTCATATCATTACTAGATTGATGTCTCAAAAATACGGATCTGAACAGATTAAACTTTAATACTACCCCCTAGAATACAGAATTAAAGGATAGACCTATACTATATGTAAATTCTTGCATTCTCTGTTGTTTCCACCAGTTTCTCTCTCTTTGGTCCCATTCTCCTCCCCTAACCATGCACCACTAGTGACAGTGCCCTGCTGAGCAAACCATGCTGTTTCCATCTTCTGTAACTTTTGTAAAATAATCTTCATCAGCATGGTGGTATTTTAGCTAAAATCTTTTATGTTGCGTTTTCAATAATAATCTATTACCAAAGATTTTAAATTACAAACACACTTTAACAAGTGTATGAAGTTGTAAAAGAAGGCTTATAGAAATATTTTTTTGGTGTGAAGTATCTTGCCAGTAATGCCACGTTATTATTTTTGACTTGACAACTTTATAGCATAAATTTTACTATTTTTGATTGTTTCCTGTATTCTGACTTTTGTAGTATATTTCATTAGAAAATAAGTTCATTGCTGATAATAATTATTTCATATCCCTAATTAATTGCAATAAAAAAACTGAGGCTTACTATGATTAGAATCTGCTGGTCCTTTTAATCTCTGATTTAATAACTTCAAATTAGTGTATCAGAAATCACTCACCAGGCAGCTGATGTGTTTCCTTAGGTGGGAGTGACCTCTCAGAAGACTATGCAGCTACTTCCTGCTTCAAGATATAGAGCCACACAAAAGGTAACGTAGAGATACTGATTTCTCCATATGTCTTCAGCTCTGACAGAGGAGAGGTTTACATTTCCTTCATTATTGATAAGTTTTTTTTTTAATTCTAAGGCTAAAATGGAAATGAATTTCTTTTCATTTGAACAGAGATTAGAATACCAAGGGACATTTATAGACAGCAAGTTTCTTGGACATTATAATTATTATGTACAATTAGTAAATAGTATAAGCAAACTAGTTGAAAACCATATTCCATTTTTCTGGTAATAACTTACCCTGTGTGTACCAGATTGTGTATATGAAAAAAGAAAAAAAAACACAATAGACTGTAGAGAAAATGCTTTTTAAAAACTTTATCATATTTTTAAGAGTAATTAAATATATTGATGTTAATCTTTACATTTAACTAACAATATTGATTATTTTAATAGAAATATTAATCCTGTGATTTCCATAAGACAATTATAATTTCTTGGTAAACTAGTAGGATATTTTAATAGCTGCAAAATAAATATAGTATTCCTATATATTAACATTTTATCAGTATAAATCAACAGATTTTTGACTGTCATTTATTGTATTCACTCAATTAGAGCAACACTTCTCAAACTTTTTGGTCTCAGGACTCTTACACTTTTTAAAAAGATCATTTTATTTATTTTTTATTGAAATATAGTTGGATTGAATATTGAAATATTGAAATATATTGAATATTTGAAATATATTGAAATATATTGAAATATATTAAATATTGAAATATAATATATATATTATATAAGTTACAGGTGTACAATATAGTGATTCATAATTTTCAAGGTTATATTCCATTTAGTTATTATAAAATATTGGCTATATTCCCTGTGTTATACTATATATCCTTTTAGCTTATTTTATACATAGTAGTTTGTATCTCTTAATCCCCTACTCCTGTGTTGCCCCTCCTCCTTCCCTCTCCACACTGGTAACCACTGGTAGTTTGTTTTCTATATCTGTGAGTCTGCTACTTTTTTTTTAATATTCACTAGTTTGTTGTATTTTTTAGATTCTGCATACAAATGTTATCATACAGTTTGTCATTCTCTGTCTGACTTATTTCACTTAGCATAATGCCCTCCAAGTCCATCCATGTTGTTGCAAAAGGCAAAATTTCATTCTTTTTTATGGCTGAGTAGTATTCTTTATCCATCAACTGTTGATGGACGCTTAGGTTCCTTCCACATCTTGGCAATTGTAAATAATGCCACTGTGAACATTAGGGTGCATGTACCTTTTCGAATTCATGTTTTTGAGATTTTTTGGATATATACCCAGGAGTGGCATTGCTGGGTCATATGGTAGTTCTATTTTTAGTTGTTTGAGGAACCTCCGTACTGTTCTCCACTGTGGCTGCACCAATTTTCATTCCCACCAACAGTGTACGAAGGTTTCCCTTTTCAGCACATCCTTGCCAACATTTGTTATTTGTGTTCTTTTTGATGATAGCCATTCTGACAGGTGGAGGTGATATCTCATTGTGGTTTTGATTTGCATTTCCCTGATGATTAGCGGTGTTGAGCATCTTTTCATGTGCCTGTTGGCCGTCTGCATTTCCTCTTTGGAAAAATGTCTGTTCAGGTCTTCTGCCCATTTTTTAATCAGGTTGTTTGTTTTTTTTATGTTAAGTTGTATGAGCTGCTTACATATTTTGGATATTAACCGCTTATTGGTCTTATTATTTGCAAATCTTTTCTCCCATTCGATAGGTTGTCTTTTCGTTTTTTTTGATGGTTTCCTTTGCTTTGCAAAAGCTTTTAAATTTAATTAGGTAAATCAGCTATATGTCAATAAAAATAAAAAGTAAAAAGTTTTAAAAATATCAAATAAGTCTGTCACAACCTCATTTTGATAATTTTTTTTATATATAAATTTATTTATTTAGTTTTGGCTATGTTGGGTCTTTGTTGCTGCGTGTGGGCTTTCTCTAGTTGCGGTGAGCAGAGGCTACTCGCAGCGGTGTGTGGGCTTCTCATTGCGGTGGCTTCTCTTGTTGCGGAGCATGGGCTCTAGGCGCGCAAGCTTCAGTAGTTGTGGCACTCGGGCTCAGTAGTTGTGGCTTGTGGTCTCTAGAGCTCATGCTCAGTAGTTGTGGCGCACGGGCTTAGCTGCTCCGTGGCATGTGGGATCTTCCCGGACCAGGGCTCGAACCCGTGTCCCCTGCATTCGCAGGCTGACTCTTAACCACTGCGCCACCAGGGAAGTGCCTGATAATGTTTTAAAAGTTAATCTTAAAATGTTCTTATGCTCCAGTTAAAGGAAAAAAAAAATTGCCTCCTTGTCATTTCTGTCTCTATTTTCTTGTTCTGTTTACCTTGTAGGAACAGAACAGAAAGCCAGCTACCTCCATAACAACTCTTCATAGCCTTCTCTTTGGCCCTTTCTTACAATTCTTTGGTGGATATTTTTTGTGGGGATGTCTTTACTAGATTTTCTGGTCTCTACTTTTAAAATCATAATTTATATATTGAGAATCTTGTTTTCCCCATATAAGTTAGTAGGGCATAATGACAGTAATTTTAGATTCTCTTCAATCTGTTACAGGTGGTTGTTGGAGATCATGATGGAGTAGTTATGTGCTTTGGCATGAAGAAGGGAGAAGCAGTGGTATGTGTACCTTTTGAATACTCCTACATTAAAATTTTTTCTAAAGCATAATGAAAAATAGGTTGAGGGAAGTAGTCATATGAAGTATGAGATTACAGGCAGCATGAGAGTCATTTGCTAGCCATTTGTAAAACATCTTTGACAGCCTAGGGTGATATATTAGTTTTTTATGCTGTGTAACAAGTTACCTCAAATTTAGGGGCTTAACACAAAACACATTTATTATCTCACGGGGCAGGAGTCCAAGCTCGAGGCCTCACGTGGCTGCAACACATGTACAGCCAGGCTCTATTTCTTTCTGGAACTCAGGGTCCTGTTCCAAGCCCATGTAGTTGTTGGAAGAATTCAGTTCTTTACTGTTGTTGGACTGAGGTCCCCACTTTATTGCTGTCCATAAGCCAGGGCCTGCTTTCAGCGTCCTGAGGCCCACCACAATTCCTTGCCATGAGCTCTTCTCCCAGGCCCTCGCACAACATGGTGAACTGCTTCTTCAGGCCAACAGGGAAATCTGTCCAGTCTGCTAAGATGGAGTCTTATATAACAGTGTAACATGGACGTGACCGTCACATCACCTTTGCCACTTAATATAGCCTAACCAAGGAAGTGAGTTTTATGTTATCATATTCCCAGATCATAGTTTACAAGTGATGGGTCTGAGATGTGAACTCTTATATTCATTCTACATTATATGAAATTTGCAAAAAGATGAAGAGGGTAAAAATTACCAGAAACTCAGTGTTTCCATTGTTCATATATCCTTCCAGATATTTTATTCTCTGTGTATAAGTCATTGGCGGTGAAGGGAAGAAACTGATGCCAATAATAATATAGAAGATAATGAGGAATAAACTAAGGATGCAAATGTTTCCAATTAAATAGAGAGATATGAAGTTATATGCTCAGGTTTTCAGTAAATTCTACAGTCCTTAATTTATACTACTAAAATTTATAAAATTGTAAGGGAACCAGGAGAGATTAGTTTTAAAAAGATGATTAAGGTATAAAAACATGTGCACTGGAACCAGCTGAGGAATCTTGGTAAAATGCAGATTCTCATTCAGTAGATCTGGGGTTGAGCCTGAGAGTCTGCATTTCTAATAAGGTAAGTGATGCTAATGCTGCTGCTTAGCAAACCCTACTTTGAGTTGCAAAAGTTTAGATTTTAATAATGTCATTGAAATGCAATGTGAGTGGGAATAAACGTTGCAAAGTTTGAAGATATTTAGCAAAAAACCCAGAAGACCACTGGATACATTTGTATCTAAAGGTGTTCCTATTTAGAACTATAATATGTTGTAAGTTTAAAATCACAGCATTTTTTATGGTAAAAGAAAATACTTGGAATAAATTTGTGTACTTAATTTTTTCCTCAATGGTTTTTGCAGACAGTCTTCAAGACTTTACCTGGGCAGAAGATTGCCAGATTGGAACTAGGAGGGGTTCTTAACACGCCCCAGGAGAAAATTTTTATTGCTGCAGGATCTGAAATTAGAGGCTTCACAAAGAGAGGAAAACAGTTTCTCTCTTTTGAAACAAACCTCACTGAAAGCATTAAAGCTATGTATGTTTATTCTCTTTTTTATTTTTACATATCCATTTACAATATTTTGGATAGGTGACAAACATCAGATTAAGTATCACATCTTAGTAGGTTATCTGGGAAATAATTAAAGGTACTTTATTAGTCGGAAATTAAATTTGACCTGGAGTCAATACAAAATCAATTGGGTGTTGAAATCTTATCTTTTTAAGACATTTGTAGTATTTATAGCTTCATTTTTGACTAGTTAGTTCTGTTATGATTCATGATCAAAGTATAAAAGAAGTGAAAGAAAATCTCCAGATATTTAGGTTCGTGTTGCTTTGCTGTCTCTGGTAGTTCTGATTTTGAGGTAGCATCATTTTGTCAAAAGCCTGGCCATCAAAGTTAATGACTACCAAAAAGGTGTAATTTCAGGTGAGTCAGGTAAGACTCTAAGTGAAAAATAGCTTCCTTAATGGCTTCCTGCTATATGAAATTTTGCAATTAAAATTTTAGTTTTTGAATCATGGAGAACTGGAAGAGGCTTTAAAGTTTATCTATCCACTGTCCTTCAAACCTGCTACTTAGGAGAATCCCTTGGAAGCTTTAAACAATAGATTCCTCGTACTACCTCATACCTGCAGAATCAGAATTATTAGGAGTGGGTTAAAATAACAGTTTTTCATTTGAATCCTATGCAGCCATGTTATATAAGAAGCCAGACCTTGGTTTGGAAACTACTGATCCAGAATTCTATTAATGTATAGCTGTCCTGTGTAATTCTGTATAATGCACAGCATGTGTCCTGATGTCTGGGCTGTAAAACTTAGGTTTGGTGAGATTAGATAAGAATTAAACAGTGGCAAGTGGAAGTAATTTCAGTGGCTTAATAAGAATATCATTCATTTCTAGAAATGCTTTTCTAGATAGGCATGGCCAGTGGTAATTGTGAAATACTAAAACCAAAGTAGCTAATTATTAGCATACCTCCACATTCAGAAAGGAGTTTCCCAGCAAATAGTCTCTTTAGCTAGTTTCTTAAATGTTTTTACTGGAGTGGCGGAGGTAGGATGGAAAGGTTCTTTACTCAGTTTTTGAAAATTTATTATCTGAATCACCACATTGATAAGGTTGCATGGGAAAACAAGATTAGAACTTGAAAATATTCAGTAAGAAAACTGACCACTTATAAAATTGATTACCACTCATTAATCCTTCCCTGCTTATAAAGCAGATGGATTTGAAAATGAAATTTCAAATCTTGTAAGAGATTTAGAATTTCATTAAGTTGATAAAAATTATATTGAGAACTTTTAATTTATTTATTTATTTTAAACAGCAGGTTCTTATTAGTTATCTATTTTATACATATTAGTGTATATATGTCAATCCCAATCTCCCAATTCATCCCACCACCACCAGCCCCCTGCCACTTTTCCCCCTTGGTGTCCATACGTTTGTTCTCTACATCTGTGTCTCTGTTTCTGCCCTGCAAACCGGTTCATCTGTACCATTTTTTTAGGTTCCACATATATGCGTTAATATACGATATTTTTCTCTTTCTGACTTACTACACTCTGTATGACAGTCTCTAGATCCATCCACGTCTCTACAAATGACCCAATTTCGTTCCGTTTATGGCTGAGTAATATTCCATTGTATATATGTACCACATCTTCTTTATCCATTCATCTGCTGATGGGCATTTAGGTTGCTTCCATGACCTGGCTATTGTAAATAGTGCTGCAATGAACATGGGGGTGCATGTGTCTCTTTGAATTATGGTTTTCTCTGGGTATGTGCCCAGTAGTGCGATTGCTGGGTCATATGGTAATTCTATTTTTAGTTTTTTAAGGAACCTTCATACTGTGCTTCATAGTGGCTGTATCAACTTACATTCCCACCAACAGTGCAAGAGGGTTCCCTTTTCTCCACACCCTCTCCAGCATTTGTTGTTTGTAGATCTTCTGATGATGCCCACTCTAACTGGTGTGAGGTGATACCTCATTGTAGTTTTGATTTGCATTTCTCTAATAATTAGTGATGTTGAGCATCCTTTCATGTGTTTTTTGGCAGTCTGTATGTCTTCTTTGGAGAAATGTCTATTTAGGTCTTCTGCCCATTTTTGGATTGGGTTGTTTGTTTTTTTAATATTGAGCTGCATGAGCTGTTTATATATTTTAGAGATTAATCCTTTGTTGATTCGTTTGCAAATATTTTATCCCATTCTGAGGGTTGTCTTTTTGTCTTGTTTGTAGTTCCCTTTGCTTTGCAAAACCTTTTAAGTTTCATTAGGTCCCATTTGTTTGTTTTCATTTTTATTTCCATTACTCTAGGAGGTGGATCAAAAAAGATCTTGCTGGGATTTATGTCAAAGAGTGTTCTTCTTATGTTTTCCTCTAAGAGTTTTATAGCATCCGGTCTTACATCTAGGTCTCTAATCCATTTTGAGTTTATTTTTGTGTATGGTGTTAGGGAGTGTTCTAATTTCATTCTTTTACATGTAGTTGTCCAGTTTTCCCAGCACCACTTATTGAAGAGACTGTCTTTTCTCCATTGTGTATCCTTGCCTCCTTTGTCATAATTTAGTTGACCATAGGTGTGTGGGTTTATCTCTGGGTTTTCTATCCTGTTCCATTGATCTATATTTCTGTTTCTGTGCCAGTACCACATTGTCTTGATTACTGTAGCTTTGTAGTATAGTCTGAAATCAGGGAGTCTGATTCCTCCAGCTCTGTTTTTTTCCCTCAAAACTGCTTTGGCTATTTGGGGTCTTTTGTGTCTCCATACAAATTTTAAGATTTTTTGTTCTATTTCTGTAAAAATTGCCACTGGTAGTTTGATAGGGATTGCATTGAATCTGTAGGTTGCCCTGGGCAGTATAGTCATTTTCACAATATTGATTCTTCCAATCCATGAATATGGTATATCTCTCCATCTGTTTGTAGCATCTTTAATTTCTTTCATCAGTGTCTTATACTTTTCTGCATACAGGTCTTTTACCTCCTTAGGTAGCTTTATTCCTAGGTATTTTATTCTTTTTGTTGCAGTGGTGAATGGGATTGTTTCCTTAATTTCTCTTTCTGATCTTTCATTGTTAGTGTATAGGAATGCAAGAGATTTGTGTGCATTAATTTTGTATCCTGGAACTTTACCAAATTCATTGATTAGCTCTAGTATTTTTCTGGTGGCATCTTTAGGATTCTCTATGTATAGTATCATGTCATCTGCAAACAGTGACAGTTTTACTTCTTTTCCAATTTGTATTCCTTTTATTTCTTTTTCTTCTCTGATTGCCATGACTAGGACTGCCATAACTGTGTTGAATAATAGTGGCAAGCGTGGACATCCTTGTCTCGTTCCTGATCTTAGAGGAAGTGCTTTCCGTTTTTCACCATTGAGAATGATGTTTGCTGTGGGTTTGTCATATATGGCCTTTATTATGTTGAAGTAGGTTCCTTCTATGTCCACTTTCTGGAGAGTTTTTATCGTAAATCAGTGTTGAATTTTGTCAAAAGCTTTTTCTGCATCTATTGAGATGATCATATGGTTTTTCTTCTTCAGTTTGTTAATCTGTATCATATTGATTGATTTGTGTATATTGAAGAATCCTTGCATCCCTGGGATAAATTCCACTTGATCATGGTGTATGATCCTTTTAATGTGTTGTTGGATTCTGTTTGCTAGTATTTTGTTGAGGATTTTTGCACTGTATTCATCAGTGATATTGGTCTGTCGTTTTCTTTTTTGTAGTATGTTTGTCTGGTTTTGGTATCAGGGTGATGGTGGCCTCATAGAATGAATTTGAGAGTGTTCCTTCCTCTGCAATTTTTTGGAAGAGTTTGAGAAGGATGAGTGTTAGCTGTTCTCTAAATGTTTGATAGAACTCACCTCTGAAGATATCTGGTCCTGGACTTTTGTTTGTTGGAAGATTTTTAATCACAGTTTCAATTTCATTACTTGTGATTGGTCTGTTCATATTTTCTATTTCTTCCTTGTTCAGTCTTGGAAGGTTATACCTCTCTAAGGATTTGTCCATTTCTTCCAGGTTGTCCATTTTATCGGCATATAGTTGCTTGTAGTAGTCTCTTATGATGTTTTGTATTTCTGTGGTGTCCATTGTAACTTCTCCTTTTTCATTTCTAATTTTATTGATTTGAGTCCTCTCCCTCTTTTTCTTGATGAGTCTGGCTAAAGGTTTATCAGTTTTGTTTATCTTCTCAAAGAACCAGCTTTTAATTTTATTGATCTTTGCTATTGTTTTCTTTGTTTGTATTTCATTTATTTCTGCTCTGATCTTTATGATTTCTTTCCTTCCACTAACTTTGGGTTTTGTTTGTTCTTCTTTCTCTAGTTCCTTTAGGTGTAAGATTAGATTGTTTATTTGAGATTTTTCTTGTTTCTTGAGGTAGGCTTGTATAGCTATAAACTTCCCTCTTAGAACTGCTTTTGCTGCATCCCATAGGTTTTGAATCATTGTGTTTCATTGTCATTTGTCTGTAGGTATTTTTTGATTTCTTCTTTGATTTCTTCAGTGATCTCTTGGTTATTAAGTAGTGTATTGTTTAGCCTCCATGTGTTTGTGTTTTTTACATTTTTTTCCCTGTAATTGACTTCTAGTCTCATAGCGTTGTGGTTGGAAAAGATGCGTGATATGATTTCTTTTCTTAAATTTACCGAGGCTTGATTTGTGACCCACGATGTGATCTGTCCTGGAGAATGTTCCGTGTGCCCTTGAGAAGAAAGTGTAATCTGCTGTTTTTGGATAGAATGTCCTATAAAAATCAATTAAATCTATCTGGTCTATTGTGTCAGTTAAAGCTTGTGTTTCCTTATTAATTTTCTGTCTGGATGATTTGTCCATTGGTGTAAGTGAGGTGTTAAAGTCCCCCACTATAATTGTTTTACTGTCGATTTTCTCTCTTATAGCTGTTAGCAGTTGCCTTATCTATTGATGTGCTCCTATGTTGGGTGCATATATATTTATAATTGTTGTATCTTGGATTGATCCCTTGATCATTATGTAGTGTCCTTCCTTGTCTCTTGTAACATTCTTTATTTTAAAGTCTATTTTATCTGATATGAAAATTGCTACTCCAGCTTTTTTTTGATTTCCATTTGCATGCAATATCTTTTTCTATCCACTCACGTTGTCTGTATGTGTTCCTAGGTCTGAAGTGGGTCTCTTGTAGGCAGCACATATGGGTCTTGTTTTTGTATCCATTCCGCGAACCTGTGTCTTTTGGTTGGAGCATTTAATCCACTCACGTTTAAGGTAATTATTGAAATGTATGTTCCTAATACCATTTTCTTAACTGTCATGGGTTTGTTTTTGTAGGTCCTTTTCTTCTCATGTGTTTCCCACTTAGAGAAGTTCTTTTAGCATTTGTTGTAGAGCTGGTTTGGTGGTGCTGAATTCTCTTAGCTTTTGCTTGTCTGTAAAGCTTTTGATTTCTCCATCGAATCTGAATGAGATCCTTGCCGACTAGAGTAATCTGGGTTGTAGGTTCTTCCCTTTCATCACTTTAAATATATTGTGCCACTCCATTCTGGCCTGTAGAGTTTCTGCTGAGAAATCAGCTGTTAACCTTATGGGAGTTCCCTTGTATGTTATTTGTTGTTTTTCCCTTGTTGCTTTCAATAAGTTTTCTATGTCTTTAGTTTTTGCTAATTTGATTACTATGTGTCTCAGCATGTTTCTCCTTGGGTTTATCCTGCCTGGGACTCTCTGCGCTTCCTGGATTTGGGTGGCTATTTCCTTTCCCATGTTAGGGGAGTTTTAGACTATAATCTCTTCAAATATTTTCTCTGGTCCTTTCTCTCTCTCTTCTCCTCTGGAACCCCTATAATGCGAATGTTGTTATGTTTAATGTTGTCCCAGTGGTCTCTTAGGCTGTCTTCATTTCTTTTCATTCTTTTTTCTTTATTCTGTTCCGCAGCAGTGAATTCCACCATTCTGTCTTCCAGGTTACTTATCTGTTCTTCTGCCTCAGTTATTCTGCTATTGATTCCTTCTAGTGTATCTTTCATTTCATTTATTGTATTGTTCATTTCTGTTTGTTTGTTCTTTAATCCTTCTAGGTTTTTGTTAACCATTTCTTGCATATTCTCGATCTTTGCCTCCATTCTTTTTCCAAGGTCCTGGATCATCTTCACTATCATTATTCTAAATTCTTTTTCTGAAAGGTTGCCTATCTCCACTCCATTTAGTTGTTTTTCTGGGGTTTTTCTTGTTCCTTCATCTGGTACAAAGTCCTCTGCCTTTTCATTTTGTCTATCTTGCTATGTATGAGGTTTTCCTTCCACAGGGTGCAGAATTGTAGTTCTTCTTGCTTCTGCTGTCTGCCCTATATTAAGAGAACTTCTGAAATCGTATGCAGAGCCACAAAATGAAGCCATTTGAACAATAATTGAAGAAGAGAAAATCAATGAGGATCATTATAGGATAAGGAATAATTTTAGTATCAAAAATTTTTTGAATAGACCTTAGAGGAGAAGTGGAAAAATAGGTGAAACCGTCAAATAAATACCCTCTTTATGATCACGTGGTGATAGCTATCTAGAAGTGATGATAATATATTAGTATATAATTTTTGTCAAAAATTTTAGCTCCGCAGTGGAAACTTGATTCATTATAAGAATTTTAACATAGTTGTGATTATTTATCTAAATTTTGTTAAATATAATTTGAAATGAAGTTATTATTTCTTTTTTCAAGTTAAAATTCTAGTGAAGTCTTTTTTCCCACTGTTTGTTATTTAGTTTCAAGTAGATTCAGTTCAAATAGCCTTATTCTATTTAGTGTGGTAGTAAGAAAGCTAACTGTAGAGTTAAAAACTGAGTTGCAATCCAGTCTACTGTCTACTAGTTCCGTGCCTTTATGCAAGTTACTTAACATTTTATTATTCTCCTTAAATAGGGATAATAATGGTCCCAAGTTTATAAAGTTATGAGGATTGAGCTAACACATGTGTCACTTAGGACAGTGCTTGGCCTATAGTACACATTCAAAAAAGTTACTTTTTGATATAGTAATTGTCTTCAGATATAGGCAATGAATATTACCATTATCTTGTCTTTGTTTTCAGTTCTTCTGAGCTCAATTTTTGAGAAGCCTGAGGCCTGTAGAACCTCAGTTTCAGCTTTCAATATCAATGCTTTACCAAAAGGCTAGAAATTAAGTGGGGGAAACGAAAACAAACAAAAAGTGTCCTCTGAGTCTGTGATAAAATGATAGTAAACTGTATATAAATAAACTTATTTTCATCTCTGAAAATAATTCAGGAGCTTCCTGAATCTTATATTGATATCTTAAATTACTTTTAATATTCTCAGGCACATATCTGGCTCAGACCTTTTTCTCAGTGCAAGTTATATCTATAACCATTATTGTGACTGCAAAGACCAACATTATTACCTTTCTGGAGATAAAATCAATGACGTCATCTGCCTTCCAGTGGAAAGAGTACTTCGTGATGTACCGGTGTTGGCCTGCCAGGACAGAGTACTCAGAGTTTTACAGGTTGCTGTTATTTGCATTTTTATAGTTTTTCATAATTTAGGTAAAAAAATATTGCTGAACAGTGTATACTTGAGATAAATTACTTTAGTGACTACTACTTTAAATATCTTAAAATTATATCTTGAAAAAGTTTTTTAATATTTTAATTAACTTTTATTTTTTTTACTTGAGGCGAATGTGTAGAAATCTTTGACAGGATTTTAGAGAGGCATATACGGAAGCAAGGACACTTTTCCCCCCACACATAATATATGAGTTAGTACAATAAGAATCTAATGCCTTTGCTATAGGGAACCCTTCCTAGCTTTTCTTTTTTTTTTTTTATGGTACGCGGGCCTCTCACCTCTCACTGTTGTGGCCTCTCCCGTTGCGGAGCACAGGCTCCGGACGCACAGGCTCCAGACGCACAGGCTCAGCGGCCATGGCTCACGGGCCTAGCCACTCCGCGGCATGTGGGATCTTCCCGGACTGGGGCATGAACCCGTGTCCCCTGCATTGGCAGGTGGACTCTCAACCACTACACCACCAGGGAGGTCCCCTTTTTAAAAAAAAATTTCTTCCATCACCCTCCCCTCTCCCAAAAAATCAAATTAAAGGATGAAATTGGGTTGGGGAGAGGGTGTTAGGCTTTAACAGGAGAGAGTTGAGATCAGAGTTGTATCATTTGAGTTTACCCAGCATTTATGACAGTATGTTGAACAGAATAAGCACTCAGTAAATATTTGAAAAAGCATTTACTATCTTTATATTTCTATTAAAAACCATGATTGGCTAAAACAACTACTTAAGGCCATTGTTATTAGTAGTACTAATTACAACTGTCTTCTTGAAAGTGACTTTTTTTTTTTTTGCCGCACCACACGGCTTGCGGGATCTTAGTTCCCAGACCAGGGATTGAACCCAGACCCTTGGCAGTGAAAGCACTGAGTCCTAACCACTGGACTAGCAGGGAATTCCGAAAGTGACTTTCAATAAAATAGACATACCCTCTGTCTCTTTCTCTCTCTGTCTCTCTCTGTCTCTCTCTGTCTCTCTCTCTCTCTCTCTCTCTCTCTCTCTCTCTCTCTCTCACACACACACACACACACACACACACACACACACACACCCCAGGACCCATAAAACAAAGTTTAGATGTAAATAACATATAACAAGTGGATTAATTGGATCAAAATTTAGGATGATAGTGCAATTGAACAAATAGTCTACCTGTTTATTCTGTGCCACCAAAGGCTATCTCACTCTTTGGAATTTCATAGTTAGATGGCCTGTCTCAGCACCAGCCCTTTTATAGAACAAATCCAGTGGTTCTATGAAGTTCTCTTTTTTTTTTTTCTCTATGGGGAATTAAAATAATGTTCAAGGTTCACTCTAGGGGGGGTGAACGATTAATTTCTCCCCTAGCCTATGCTCAAATATGAGTTGTTTGAATAAGGCTTTTAACGAGTTGGCTCACACCCATTTAGAAATTGATCTGGCTGAATTCTAGGATTCTGCTTTGTTTAACAAGAGATCCATATGCTAATTGTAAAAAAAAAAAAATCACTAAGTATTTGTGGAAAGTAAAATGTTGAAGTCTTTCCTCTGCCCTGCACACTTTTCCCCTACTCCCCCTCTGCCTTTGTAGGCAATCCGTTACCCCAAAGCTAGCCTTTTTAAAACAGTTTTGTGTGTATTCTTTTGTGTTTATATAGTTACATGTAGATATCTGTGAATTTTTAATGTTTTTCTAAATAAAATATAAAGCATATGGCTCTATATATTCTATATATATTTAAAAATTTAAACAATGATATACCAGATTTACTGTAATTTTGCCAATGTTTTTTCATTGAGTGATTTATCATAATTTTTCTATGTGAATTTAATTCTTCTACCTCATTCTTTAACAGCTTCACAAATACTATTCACAAATACTATGCAAATACTATGCATTATAAGTGACAAAATTGAAAAAAAGACAAATAAAAGGATTTAACTGTTTTCTTATCTAAATAGCAGGTCATTCTGCCTCTTATTAGAGTGGTTTTCAGAAATACCCAAAGGCAAGGCCAGAGTTTCTGAGTCTGTTTGAATGTGCTCTAAGTTAAAGCCCTTGAGTTAGAGAGGACAGAAGAAACAACTTGTTCCTGGAAAGTTTTGATAGGGAAATTTACCTATCAAAATTTTTCAAGTGTCAAGTTTTCAGGCAAACAAAGTACCTAAAGTGAAAAGTATTCAAAGTGGAGAATATTTGAAATATTTATTTCCTCACTCTTTATATTTTATATATGTATATTTTTATTATAAAATGAGTCGACGTGCAGAATTGCTAACAAATAGAAGTTAATATTCACAATCTAGTTTTTTTCAGTAGTTTTATTCCAGGGTTCTTTATATGAATATTGATATTATTTATGAATACCTATATTATTTTAAGTTTATCTTCTGTTTTAGTTTTAAAATACTTGTTCTCCTTCAGGGATCTGATGTGATGTATGAAATTGAAGTTCCTGGCCCACCTACTGTTTTAGCCCTACACAATGGAAATGGCGGTAATCAGGGCTTTATTTTTGACAATCAAATAAGGGAGTGAGTTACGTTATTTAAGTTTAGATATTTCAGGTTTTTTAATCATTTAACTATATATTAAGTGAAAATGAGAAATTGTAGGAAGAACATGAACTGGAATAGAGACAATTGTCTTCTAACTTGCTAGTTGCTAACAGTAATGTGTTATTGAACTTTAATTTTTTAGTTTCCTCATCTTAAAATTAGTTGATGAGGAAAGGTCTTATCTCTTATGGTTATAAATTCTGTGAATGTATAACCATCCTTCTAAATTAAGTAAATTAATTAAAATCTGTCTTTTTAAAATATTTTAAATGAGATTTTTACATGAAAGACATTTGAAAGACATTTTACATGAAATACATTTGAAAATATTTCAGTTTTAAAGAAATAGTGTGAGTTGTGGGGTAAATATAATATGTTGACTTTAAATATAACTAGGTGACTCTGGAGAAGACCTTTTGTTTGGAACGTCAGATGGAAAACTTGGGCTTATTCAGATCACTACATCCAAACCAATACACAAGTGGGAAATTCGAAATGAGAAAAAAAGGGGAGGTATTATTTATTTATTTATTTATGGCTGCATTGGGTCTTCATTGCTGCGCGTGGGCTTTCTCTAGTTGTGGCGAGCGGGGGCTTTTCTTTGTTGTGGTGTGCGGGCTTCTCATTGTGGTGGCTTCTCTTGTTGCGGAGCACAGTCTCTAGGTGCGCGGGCTTCAGTAGTTGTGGCATGTGGGCTCAGTAGTAGTGGCTCATGGGCTCTAGAGCGCAGGCTCAGTAGTTGTGGCACATTAGCTTAGTTGCTCCACAGCATGTGGCATCTTCCTGGACCAGGGCTCAAACCCGTATCCCCTGCATTGGCAGGCGGATTCTTAACCACTGCACCACCAGGGAAGTCGGGAGGTATGTTTGTGATGTAATTCAGATTCTGAATTTCAGTGATTATTAAATAAAATATACTGGGAATTTCCTGGTGATTCAATGGTTAGGACTCCGTGCTTTCACTTCCAAGGGTGTGGGTTCGATAGATAGATAGATAAATAGGTCAACCTACATTATATAGTTCATTCTGTTTTATTTATTCATAATGTATAGCAGACTTAGCAATTTACAGAGCTGCCTCAGGTTTATTTACTGTTTGTTTATTAAGCAGGCCTATCATACTTCTGCCATAATTTTTAAAGTTAAGATATGCTAATAGTAAATTGGGATGGATAGGCTTTTATGGACTAATGTCTATCTATAACATTAATCTATGCTCAAATCCATTTTTTGTTTTTTGCTGTAGGGAATTAATTGGAATTTGGGAGTACTTGGTATGAGGCAAAGAAGTGCAGTCGGGTCAGGGAATATTCCTTTTTTCTAAGGAATTTACACCTTTCTAAGGGGAATTTATATCTGACTTGGTAGGTTTGGATGGCTGTTTATAAGTACAGCATGAGATCTGATTGACAAGAAAACGTGTTAACAGTGTATAAGATTTAGGGGAAAAGAATGTCCAGGAAGAGGAAAAAGTAAAGGCAGAGGACTTGAGGCAGAGGTAAACTCGATTCATTTGAGGAGAAGGAAGACCAGTGTAGCTAAATACGTTCGTATGGCATGAGATGAAGTCACAGAGGTAGGGTAAAGCCAAATCACGTAGGTCCTCATGAGCCTTGGTAAAGGGGTTTGAATTTTAATCTAACTGTAGTGGGGTGTCATTGGAAAATTGTAAGTGGGGGTATGATGTGATCTAATTTACCAAACTAAAACAAAAACACTCTGTGGAGAGTGGGTTTGTAGGGAAGCAGGTCAAAATTAGAGGCATGGAGTTCAATTGGGAAGTTATTGTTACAGTTGTTTCGTTTTGGTTTTTTAAAAATTTTATTTATTTATTTATATTTGCCTGTGTTGAGTCTTTGTTGCTGCACGCAGGCTTTCTCTAGTTGTGGTGAGCGGAGGCTACTCTTTGTTGTGGTGCACGAGCTTCTCGTTGTTGCTTCTGTTGTTGTGTGGAGCATGGGCTCTAGGCATGCGGGCTTCAGTAGTTGTGGCACGTGGGCTCAGTAGTTGTAGCTTGCGGGCTCTAGAGCGCAGGCTCAGTAGTTGTGGCGCCTGGGCTTAGTTGCTCCGCGGCACGTGGGATCTTCCTGGCCCAGGTCTCAAACCTGTGTCCCCTGCATCAGCAGGCGGATTCTTAACCACCACGCCACCAGGGAAGCCCTATAGTTGTTTTAATTTACCCTAGTTTTTTTTTCCTACTCTGATTATATATATATATTTTTTCATTCATACTTGGTATATTTTTTACTATAATATCAGTTTTATTGATAACTTATCACTTACCTTTTTTAAAGGTATTTTGTGTATTGACAGCTTTGACATTGTGGGTGATGGGGTTAAAGATTTACTTGTTGGAAGAGATGATGGAATGGTGGAAGTGTATAGTTTTGATAATGCAAATGAGCCTGTTCTACGATTTGATCAGGTAAGTTCACTTTTAAAAAGACTATATATGCTTATTATTCATCAAACAATTATAGAGATGACTGACTTTGTGTTTTATTAAATGAAATATATTAAAATTTTGTGTTTGGCTTAAAATATCTCTGCTTTGACATTATCAAAATCTTCTCTAGACTACTCTTATGTTTGAATAAATGACTATTGCCCTCAAGCTGAACAATAAATTACTTTTTTATTTGATTTCTAAATACTGTATATCCAAATTATTATATGTATTACCTTAGTTTCTATGATGCATAATAGATTACAGGAGTAACATTTATATGTCTAGGTAGCATAAATGAGATTGTGTTGTTTTAAAGTAATCAGGTTTTAGGAATAAACTTCGTATTGTTAAGACAATATCAAAAATATCCTTAAGCAGAGAGGGAAAAGTAGCAATTTCACTTCTCGCCACCCAAGATCCACAGTATGAGAAGAAATACTAGATAAGAGTAATTTTTAGTTCACAAATTTTAAGTGTAATTAAGCTTGTTTATCCCAAGGTGCAGAGTCACATGGAGAAGCATTCTGGCATAAACTGAATCTTTCATTTTCATAAAGTGGTGCTCTCCTGTTCAGGGTTTCCCCATCCTGCCTCATGCATGATGTATTGAGGCTGTTTAATGACAGCAACAAAACACCACAACTCAGTATGAACTTTTCTTTCTTTGTCTAATTTCTCTAATAGTGGTAAATTTCTCCCACTACCTACTTTAATTGTATATCAGTAAATAACAGATGTTTTGGTACATAGATAAAGTGTATTATTATATAGATAATATGGGGATAAAAACATTATACAACTTATTTTCTGGATTTATTTTGTACTTGTTCATCTTTCTTTGGTGCCAAAAGTTACTTTGCTAATGATGCAAATAATAGTTTAGGCTTAAAAGTACATAATAATCCTGTGTTGGTGATCTCCCATTTTATTCTCATCAACCCCTGAGAAACTTTCCTATTTAGACCCCAAGTTTCCTCTTTGACTTCTATTCCAAACCCCAGTAATGACATAGCATGTCTCCCCTCTGCCAGGTGTAGCACTAAGAATTCCTGTCTTCCCAATCTTTCTTCTGTTTGTCTGATGATAGAGGTACTGCTTCCATGTTGTGTTAAGGCTGCGAATATGCTGCCTCATCTTGATTCATGACGTCACTCTCTTTATTGTTTTCCTAATCAGGAGAAGTCCTCTTATCTGACATAGTCTGGACTGATGGTTGGTTAATCAAAAATGTTAAGGAGCAGATCATAAAAAGACAATATGTACATACCTTAAACATCACATTTTAATTTAAACTTATAAATATATATTTATTCACCAATATTTTGAGCAGTGACCAAGGTCTTTTCTTGTGAGTTCCCCTAATTGGCATTCCATGTTGTTACTTACATAAAGCATGTCTATACTATGTTGTCTATGATCTCCTGTGTTATGGTTCTATGACTGTTTTTTTTAAGGTGTAAGTTGAATTAACTAAATCTACAACTCCAAGACTTTTATAAAAAGGTACTTGAAGTACATAATATAAATGAATTTCATTAAAATGTTGTATTGACAAAAAACATGTAGAAATTAACAGTTTTTTAAATTTTTATAACTTTTTCTGAGTACATTAGGTTAAATAAGGTACTTCTAAGTGAGTGAAAGAGTAAGTTATAATTAATAGTCACTCAATAAACCACTCAGAAAGTGAGAATGTGTGTGACTCTTTTGACTCTGTAAAACATTCTTCTGTAGTCAGCTGGTTTCCAGTGTTTTGCTTTCAATAAATAGAAGGAGGACCTAATCAAGGTGTCAGATGATACACCATTAAACATTTTCAGTGGTAGATCAGATGATTTTAGGTATGTAACTTGGAAGATATTTAAACAATAGAGTGAACTTTCTACAACAAAATTTCTTTTAGTCTCATCAATATCTTTATGGGACTAAGCTCAATTAGTGCTTCTATCTATGAAAATGAAAAAAAGGAATAGGACTGATGTTGAACTCAGTCTTATTCTACCAATATATAATTAATACTCATTGTGGTACATGAATAATTTAGAAGGAAAAAATGTCCCATGAGATACATTTCCTATAGAATTTTGTTTTAGTGGTTAGTTATTATTTAAAAATATAAAACATATATTTGTCGATCAATTGTGAAATACTAATACTTAGGACAATAGAAATTTCTAATTCTTAGAGCTTTTTAATCACAGAAGATAAAAAAATTCTATTTTTTCTTGGTTGCAGAGAAATATAAAATAATTTCAAGCATATGAGTATATTACATTAAGATAAATATATGTGGGGGAAGTGGAGTGAAAATAGAAGTTTAGGGAACAATGTAAAATTTCCAGCTGTGAAAGAAGGATTTGTTTTTTCATTTTTAAGTCAATTGTGTATATAAATTTGTCTTGATATTTAGATTCATTGGGTATGATTGGGATGTGATTATGTGACAGTTTTATTTTAAAATTATAATCTCTAAAACTTCCAGATATTACATTCTTTGTAACTATTAAAAGTGGTGATGAAAATCTGAAAGTCAGTTTAAAAATGTACACAGTGATGGATGGATGCAGTTTTGTTTGTTTTTTCAGAATTAACTTTAGCGAGAACATGAACAAAAAAGTTTGAAGAATTCTAGTGTATATGAAATCCACTGGGACACTTGTTAAAAATGCACTTGTTGGGGAATTTCCTGGTGGTCCAGTGGTTAGGATTCTGCACTTCCCTTGCAGTGGGCACGGGTTCCATCCCTGGTCAGGGAGCTAAGATTCCTGCAAGATGTGCAGTGTGGCCAAAAAAAAAAAGAAAAAAAAATGCACCTATGAACCTAACTTCATGCAAATGTATAATCAAACCTTTGTCACTTGAATCTCTCAGGCAATTAGCTCAGGAACAGCTAAGATAGCCTGATTTGCAGAATAGCTCAGAGGTTTCCCTCTTACAGGGAGGATGAAGAGAACTAGCATTTTTAATGCTGGTGTCCATTCCCTGTACCTTCTTCTTTAGGACAATGGTTCTGGGCCTTGCCTGATAATAATTACCTGGCAGAGCTACTGGTCAAACTCATTAATGGGTTGCCAACACATTTTTTTTTAAATGAAAGAGAATAGATTAGAATATATCAGAGTACAACACAAACCTTTTAAGTTATATCTGTTGTTGTGTATGTTCATGTGTGAATTATACCAGATTGCAATATGAAACTTATTGCTTGCTTTCCAAATAGTTTGAAAGCCACTGACCGAGAGTGCTTGTTAAAAATACAGATTCCCAGTTGACTCACCCAAATGATTATTGTCAGACAAGTTTGGGAAGTATTGCTTAAAAGAGATATAAACCCTGAAGCATCTGAAAAACTTGGTTTCTCTCCATAGTAGCAAATTGTCTAAAGGTTCCATGTAAGCTAGCATCTTCTTTATTCTTCTAAAAAACTATTTGGAGAAAACACATGAGAGGTGGTCTGTGGAATTCAGGTAATAAACTAAATGTATTGAGAGTTTTGCTTATGTAATTTTTTTTTTTTTTTTTTTTTTTGGGCACGTGGCTTGTAGGATCCTAGTTTCCTGACAAGGGATGGAACCCAGGTCCCCTGCAGTGGAAGCATGGAGTCCTAACTACAGGACTGCCAGGGAATTCCCGCTTATGTCATTTTTTTAAAAAAAATTTCTTTATATAAATAAATGATTTTGCTCATTAGATGACTACTGTAGCTAAGTGGTACACACAAATATATGAATCATTTTCAATCTTCTTTCCCCAAATTAAAAAGCACTGGAATTTTCAGCCATTTGTGCAGGATTTTCACCTTTCCAATCTCAGTGTCTACACATAATAAGTATTCAATAAATGTATGTTGAATGTTGGGAGACAGGAAAATAAGTTTTGTGGCTTATTTCACATATCTGTGAAATTTTATTAATGACATGCTTGATCTTAAATTTATTTTAGACGTTGTCTGAGAGTGTCACATCTATCCAGGGTGGTTGTGTAGGGAAAGATGGCTATGATGAAATCGTGGTATCCACATATTCAGGTAAGGTAAATGGTAATAGGTAGTTGAAGAAAGAATCAATAATAAAAAATATAAATTTAATAAATTGCTTTTGATGATTACTTTTTAAAATGTTTATTAGTAAGTCACTCTTACCTACAGCATTAAAAGCTCTAATGGTTAAAAAATAAGAAAGGAAGGAGTAGGTGTATTGATTTATAAAACAGTTAATATTTGAATAATACTTTTTAAAAGTACTTAGTATATCTCTAGCATCTTTGAAAATTAAATGATATCCTTTGGTTTAAAAAGAATATTTACTGAAATTTAGTTTGTTTTGTTACTGTGTACATTTCTTATAAAACTTGCTTGCTTTTGAGTAGGTCATTTTTGTATTCTCACAATAGTTATATGAGAGTTTAACTTTCCATGAAAATAATTTTTGAAAGACAACTTTTATTCATCAGCTATTTTTTGCATTTGCCTAGAATGTGTTGACTTATTCCATACTTGAAAACTAAAACTTTAAATTAAGAAGTGAAAGATTTCCTTAATCGTAGTATTACAGTATTTCAGGCAAAACAAAAATGGTATCCAAAGTAATTTCTTTATGGTTTGAATATCTTCTAGCTTGATTTCTTTTGTGTTTTGTTTTGTCTTGTTGTTTGAAAAGGAATAAGTCCAAGACTAAGTGAGGTTGATGTTGGTGGACACGGGGGCATGTATCTTGGGTTTCTTTTAACACTAGCAGCACTTAATGGTGCACGATTGTAATTCATCTCTGCAGGCTGGGTTACAGGTCTGACAACAGAGCCTATTCATAAGGAAAGTGGACCAGGAGAAGAACTAAAAATTAATCAGGAGATGCAGAATAAAATTTCTTCATTACGGTAATTTTGGATTTTTGTTTGCTTCTTTTTTTTTTCATTGCATAAAGTGTGTGATTGTTGTTTTTTTCTTATTTATAAATGCAGTATATTTTATTGGAAGGAATTATACATTTAATTAGTTTATGACCTTTTTAAATAAAAGCTTATCAGTTTGAGAAAATTAGCAGTAAGTGCTGATTAATATTTTGGAGTTAGAAATACACTTTTTATATGTTTTATTCTATGTTGATTTTTTTCTTAGCTCAAGAATTGTATTTTTTCATTCATTTATTATAAGCAGTTACAGTGTTTTTTTGTTTGTTTGTTTGTTTTCATAGACATTAGAAAGAAATCAACACAGATGGCTCTATTCCTCATTAATTCTAATGTTTACTGCTCTTGTGGACCCTTCTGAGTCTGTAACTTTGGCTTATAAGTTTTCTTACTGGAAATGAGTAATGTTGACTCTCTTAGACACAGGGATTGCTTTCATGACTTGTTCAGTTTAAATCCTGTGAAAATGGCCTCAAGGAAAATTGCTGCATACAATGAAGAAGTGGGAGTCACTGAAACTTTTAATGACTATTCTCCTTACCCTAGCCCTTCAGACCTCAGCCCTCAGGAGTGAGGACTGATCCTTTTTTGGTGGTAGTTGATGGCTACAGAAGTTTTTGAGGCAACCAAATGCCACAAGTACTTGTTTACTAAAGCCACACCACCAGTTCGCCACAAACCAGTTCACCAAAGTCACCAAGAGAGAAAGCTCTAATGTTCATGCAGCAAGGACACCAAGGAGAGTTAATGAACTACTATCTCATGTCCTCAGTACAATACCTCATATTTATAACCAAGTCAGCCCCCTCCTGATTCCACTGGAATGTACGTTCATGAGAAGCTTATGTCCATTTTGTTCATTCAGCACCCGGATCCTAAGTACATAGAGTCACTCAGTAAATATTTCTTGGGCGAATGAATCTTTTCTTTTGTTTAGTGCACAAATCCCTTCCAAGCGCCTTCCCAGACTTTTCCCCCTAACTTGGGGCTAGTAGCTAAACCTCATGTTTTTCTACCCTAGTTACTATTTACTTCATTTCCTTTCTCTTTAACTGGAGCAGCTCTAAGCAATGCCTGCACAGTTCAATCTCCAACACTTGGTAGAACTTCAGGTACCTCTGGCTCGTGATTATCCTTGTGGTCTCCAATATATTCATACTCAGCAGCCTTCTTATTTTGTCTGTTGCCCCTAATGTCTTACTGAAAGGTACATGTTTACTGATTTCACACGTTCTGTTTCTTCTTATTAAATCTAATATGTTCCTCTACCCCAGAACAATCAGTTTCTTTTCTGATTAGTGCTATATGTGACTGTAACCAGATTCATGTATTAGGATTGATTATTTGCAGCCTGCCTTGATTCTTACAATGCCTTATTAATATTGCTGGTGTGGGGCTGAGTAGATGTTTTAATTTTTAGATCAGAGATAAATAATGTGGAACCATTAGGTCAGTCATAGAAGTAAAAATTTTGTTCCTATTAATGTTATAGTTCTAACTCAACCAATAAAAATGCATTTTGCAGCAGTAAATATATCAGACTTTTGTAAATATTCTAAGGATCTCAAATGTTTATGTCACTTAGGTGACAAATTTGTATATATTTTCCTCTAGGAGTGAGTTGGAACATCTGCAATATAAGGTACTACAGGAAAGAGAGAAATATCAACAGTCTTCTCAATCAAGCAAAGCAAAATCAGCAGTACCTTCATTTAGTGTAAATGACAAGTTTACATTAAATAAAGATGATGCCAGCTACAGCCTTATCTTAGAGGTTCAGACGGCGATAGATAATGTCTTAATACAGGTAAGCAAAATGTCTAATTTATTTGTTTTATGGCTGGATCTATTTTGTAAACAAGTCATATGTACTAATTATTATTGAACACTTTTAAACGGTGATTTTAAATGTTTATCTTAATCTTCCATTAGCTAATCAGTTGGCTCATAGATTATTTAAATTATGTCTTTATTTTTTATTTATCCCGTACATATTGAACAAAAGACCAATGGACTTAAGTTTCAGGAAGACCTAGAAAGGACATTAAAGATTTGTTCTCTGGTTAGCCTTTAGGAGAATCTTAACAGAGATGTGACTTAGAAAACTCCAGTATTTTATATCCTTATTAGAACCTTTTTTAAGCTCCAACTACTAAAATAATACAGCCTGCTCATTAACCATCAGTTTCTAGGTAGATAATCTCAAAAGGTGAAACTTAGGGATAATAATGTATAACTCCATTTATCAATGTATTTAATTCTTTTTTCTTTTTTTATTATTAGTTTTTTTTTAATTTTTATTTTACATTAGAGTATAGGTGACTAACAATTATTTTTTCTTTAAATTGGAAGATATTCAGGGAGTGGAAAAGGATGATAGTAGGATGAATGGAAAATAAGCAAGATGGAAAACACATCAGAAAATGAGAAAAGAATAAAGAGGAAGAAGACAAAGTTTTAAAAGATGTGGGGGAGAGATCAGATTATTAATTAAAACTTAGAGGCAGAAATGTCTCTCAGGTAATGCTAGCTCAAGGGCTACTGCATTGAACAACTCCAGAAGCACCATTCACACAGAACACAGTGCAACAGCATTGTCCTAGAAGCTACCTCTCTGGAGGAGACCAAAAATTATCCCCTTTCTGTGTTACAGGTGAAGTAAGAAATGATAAAAATGAACTGATATAGTAAGAATGGTCATATGATTATTTGCAGCCCATGGTAACATTTTTAGCACTGACAAAAAAAAGTAGGAAGAGTATACTTTAAAGAGAGCGATGAGAGATGAAATTCTGTGATCTGATTAATCCAAATTAGAAAAAAATAGGTCATTGTAATATAACTCTTATTCTTTATTATATTTATTTTCTAGAAGTGCATATTATCAAATACAAGTTAAGAGAGTTCATACTGTCAAATTTAGAGACAAATGTAAACTAGAGCTAAGGAGAACCCTTAGAGAAAATATATGTTGTGAGAATTTTTAGTTTTTCATCTAAACCTTTTTTTTTTTTTTTTAATATTGACTGTAGAGTGATGTTCCAATAGATTTACTAGATGTGGATAAAAATTCTGCTGTTGTCAGCTTTAGCAGCTGTGATTCTGAGGTGAGTAAAAATATAAAAAATTCTTCAAATGCTTTCATTTCCATTATGCCATTTTGTATAAAGCCTGTAAATGCTACTAGTGTTTGATGTTTCTTCTGTATTTCCTTTCATAACCCTTCCCTCAAAATCTGCTTCTACTCTCTTTCCCTATCCTCAGAAAATCCAGAAACTGGAGTGTTGTCCTAAATTCCTTCCTCTCTCTGATCTGTTAAATCCAGTTACAGTAGTTCCCTCTTTTTCTGCTGGAGATACATTCCAAGATCCCCAATGGATGCCTGAAATCAGAATAGTACGGAACCTCTGTATGATACGGTGTTTCTTTCAGCATCACTATTTTTGCACTTTGGAGCTGTTATTAAGTAAAACATGGGTTATTTGGCACAAGCACTGCAATACCATGAAGGTTGGTCTATGTGATAACTGAGATGGTTCCTAAGTGACTAGCGGGCGGGTAGCATATACAGCATGAATATGGGATGATTCATGTCCCAGACAGGATGGAATGGGATGTCACAAGTTCTCATCACACTACTCAGAACGGTGTGCAATTTAAAACTTATGAATTGCTTATTTCTGCAATTTTCTGTTTAATATTTTCAGACCACAGTCGACTGTGGGTAACTGAAACCCTGAAAAGCGAAACCACAGATAAGGGGGGGTGCTGCTGTAGTCACTAATTTTTGTCATTTCCACCTTCTTGCTCTTCTACGTCTACTCTGCTTCATTTGCACTTCTGTTAACCTTCCAGGCCCTCATAATGCTTTTGCTTGAACTCCTCGTCTGCCAGTTTCTGTGCCTCCAGTATTGCCTGTCACCTCCAGGCTATGCTGTGCACTGCCACCAGAGAGGCCTTCCTAAAAGACAAACATCCCCGTGTCATTCCTTTTCTCAAAACCTTTTAAAGATTCCTTATTTCCTGAGCTGCATGTAGGTCAAGATTCCTCACTGTAGCATAAAAAACTTTCTGTAATTCAGCTCTTGATTACATCTCCAACTTAATCTCTCACCAGCTGCTACCTTCCCTCCCATGCACATGATTTCTGCCAAACTGAAGTTCTTAAAATTTCTTGAAAATGCTATACAGCTTCACACATTCCTACATTTAAACATGATCTGTTCCATCTGCCTGTCTTTCCTCACTTTTTCTTGTTCACTCTTGCTTAACCTTCATTCAACAGACATTTACTGAACACTTACTGTGTGCAAAGTACCTGGGATGAGACCATATCAGAGCTTTTGGACGTGCTTACTGTATCACTTCTTTCTGCATGGTACTGGCTGACTAGCAGTCTCAGAGCTTAGGTGTGGCTCCTGAAGAGAAGTTAGGGTTCAGAGAAGGTCTGGAGCAGCTGCATTGGAGAAGGCAAGCCAGAGCAGGAAATGGTGACTGGAGTTGGCATTAAAAAGGGAAGGATAGGGCTTCCCTGGTGGCGCAGTGGTTGAGAGTCCACCTGCCAATGCAGGGGACACCGGTTCGTGCCCCAGTCCGGGAGGATCCCACATGCCACGGAGTGGCTGGGCCGGTGAGCCATGGCCGCTTAGCCTGCGCGTCCAGAGCCTGTGCTCCGCGGTGGGAGAGGCCACAACAGTGAGAGGCCCGTGTACTGCAAAAAAAAAAGGAAGGATAACAGGAGTAGACAAAGAACAAAGTTGATAGTTATATTAGGGAATAATTTTCAAAATAATTTCAGAGTAAAGCTTTTTTTTTGATAAGAGATTTTATGGCAGTAGTATTATTTATCATATGTGCTTTGTCATCCCTGTTTGAGAATAAAACATAAAAGGATTAAGACCTACATTTTTATGATCATTTAAAAAATCAAGTTAGTATGAACTTCAGATCTTTAATTCCTAAGTTACAGTGAAAGATTAACCTGTTTATATCACTGCAGGGTTCTTTGAAATGAGTATTTCATACTAATTTAAAACCTATTTTCTAGAATGATGGCTTAAAAAACAAATCTTATGGAGATTTCAAGTATATACAGAAGGAGAAAGAATACTGTAATAACCTCCATGTACTCATCACTAACTTTAACATATGGCCAGTCTTGTTTTATGCTCTTTACCCTCTCCCTCCCCATCCCAAACCAAATTCCAGACATTTTATCGCCTTTAATTAATATATATAATTTTATCCATAAATACTTAAATATATAACATTTGTTTTTAATTACACACAAGTATATTTATTTTTAAGTTGACTGATCCTCTGTGTTTGCTGAGTTTAAATGATTTGAAATTAAAACATTTGAATTTTCTGATTTTGCAATTCATGCACACAGATATACTCTTCTGTTTTTAGTAGTTTATTATTCAATTTTAAGAAGTTATCATACTTGAAGTAACCTCTCCAATTTTGTTCAACAAACGTGTTGAATGCCTACAGTCTACCTGACACTATGCTATTTGCTGGGAATGCATAGATGAGATATTTCTCAGTTGTCTGTAAGTATGTGTGAAAATCAAATACATTCAACACTGAACATTGATGTTTTTACCTTTATAATACAAACATTAGGAGTTTGCACTGCCAGTTAAATTTTTGGGAGAACAATTAATATTTTAAAGTGTTATTGGAGAGATTTAATATGGAAAGAGCACTGAGCTTTAGAGTCTTAAAGATACGAATTTGAATACCAGTGTTATTACTTACTGGCATTTAGGAAATTTACCTAACCCTTCAAACCTCAATTTCTTCATCTGTTAAAACTTATCACATAGGGTTGTTTGTAGGAATAAGCATAAAGCTCATAGCATGGTCCCACCCAAATGATGGGTGCTCAGTAAAAATAAATATTATTATTACTGTTGGTGCTGTTGTTATTGTTAAAAACATAGATTCATCCTTTTCCTCAACTTTGAATTCTTCCTAGTCAAATGACAACTTTCTTCTTGCCACTTATCGGTGCCAGGCAAATACCACGAGGCTGGAACTCAAGGTAAAACTGTTTGAGATTACTTTTACTTGAAAGTTTGAACTTTCTTTTTTCCTTGGTAAATCTTGCAACATATGATATCATTTCTTTGCATTAAATTTCTCCCTGAAATGAGCATTTTGGAATAATGTCTTTTGAATGACCTATTAGGTTTTAATTCAGCCCAAACCACTCTCTTTTCTGTTAGCACTCAACCAGTCACGCTCTCTAAAATTACCAATCCTAAATTTCCTCTAACTGGAAATATTTTTTATAATTTTCTATTATGGAAAGTTTCAAGCATACATAAAAGTAATGATTCCAGTTTCAGCGATGATCAACTCATGACAATCCTGTTTATGCTGTCACTCTCCATTCTAAATTATTTTGAAGCAAATACAAGATACTTTATAATTTTATTAGTAAATATTTCAGTACATATGTTTAAAAGATAACTCTTTTTTCTAAGTGATTATGTAAAATTTGTATTTTTAAAAAATTTTTTATTGGGGTATAGTTGATTTACAATGTTGTGTTAGTTTCAGGTGTACAGCGAAGTGAATCTGTTATGCATATACATATCTCCACTTAAACGATAAGCACTCTTTTTTAAAACATAACCACAATACTGTTGTCACACCTAAGAAAAATAATAATAATTCCTTAGTATTATCAAATGTTTAGTGTAGTGTTTTTTTTAGTTTGTTTGATCCAATCATGGTCCAAATAAGGTAATTTGGTTATTGAAGTATCTGAGCATTTGCCCTATATTTTCCTATTATCTGGATTTTTCTGATTGCATTCCAGTGATGTCATTACCAACTATTCCAGGGAAAATCTTTGAAGTTTCCTTTTGCAATTTACTAACATAATCACTTTATAATTAAATACTGATTGTAGCATACAAGTTTATTTTAGTTATTTAATTTTTAGTGTGAAATTTAAAAAAATTTATTTTTGATATGTTTATGACCCAAAAATTAAGCACTGTAACTTTTTCCTGATGTTCTGAAACTCAGAGTATGCTTTTTTCAAGAGAGATGCTGTTGCACAATAACTTTTTCATATCTGGTTAAGGAAGTTCCAGTTAAAATGTAATTTTTTTCTAAACAATTTATTTTCATCTGTATAAGTCCCCTTTCATGTATTTTGAAAGAAAAATTGAAAACTGGTATAAGTTCTAAAGGAATATACTTCAGCATATTTATGTAACCTAATTAAACATTTAGATTACATTCACTGAGCTAGATTGTGCCAATAAATTAGGAAGTAGGCCTAAAAATATTAAAAACCTATGTTCTTTTTTAAAATTGGATACAATAACTTTAAAGTTCAGAGGAAAGAGTAAATGCCTGAAAAGAGCCAACAAAACTATGAAAAAGGAGAAAAGGTGGAACTTATCTTGCCCTATGGTAAAATGTACTATAAAGCTACTATAATAAAAATAATGTGGGATATTTACAAGGCCTAAATAAATAGGTCACACAACAAAATAAAGTTTAGAAATATAGCCCAGCACATATTTATGGGAATTTAATGCACAGCGTTTTTAGATAGGGAAAATTCTATTAAATTACTATTTTTATTTAAAAATTGCTTTTGGTGGGACTTCCCTGGTGGCACAGTGGTTAGACCCACAGCAACTAAGACCCAATGCAGCCAAAGATAAATTAATTAATTAAAAAAATAAAAATTGCTATTGGTACAACTGGCATCCATCTGGAAGAATATTAAGTGGATTCTTATGCCATATATTATAAAAGATAAATTCAGATGAATTAAGTACCTAGTTATTTTCAAAAAGAAGCTGTCTTCCAGATAATGGGTAAATATCAGAATATGAAGACTGCCTATAAGTTGTTTAAAAAGACTACCCAGGGTGGTCCAGTAGTTAAGAATCCACCTTCCAATGCAGGGGACGCGGATTCAATCCCTGTTTGGGGAACTAAGATCCCACATGCCACGGGGCAACTAGGGCCGTGCACCGCAACTACTGAGCCTGTGTGCCACAGTTAGAGAGCCCGCGTGCTGCAACTACTGAGGCCATGCACTCTGGAGCCCACATGCCACAACTAGAGAGCCCACACACCACAACTTCTGAGCCCACACACTGCAATGAAACATCCCGCATACAACTAAGACCCAACGCAGCCAAAGAAAGAAAGAATCTTGTTCCTTAAAAAAGAAAAAGACTACCCAATTAGGAAAATAGGCCAATGTGGATAGGCAGTTCACAGAAGAGGGAATCAAAATAGCTAACAAATATTAAAAGGACATATTCTACCTCATTATCAGTTAGGGAAACTCAAAATAACAAAAATCAGTTTCCGCTTGTCTAACAGATTGGCAGAAATTTTGAAAAAGCAGAATTACCAGGTGGCAGGATGAGGAAAAGGACACTCTCAATCATAGCTGAAGGAAATAAAAATTCTTATTGCTACTTTGGTAAAATAGGCTATAATCCCATTTGTTGGAATCTATTTCATAGCAATAAAATCACAGTATTGTACACACAGGTATGTATATAATTAACTGCAGCATTGTTTGTAGAGGCAGAAAAGTTGAACCAAAGTGAACACTCAGTAATTTAATGTTTGAATAAATTGCTGTTTATCCATTTCATAGAACATTGCAGAGCTGCAATAAAGAATGAGTTGGTCAATTCCTGTTAACATGGAGCAAATTCCATGAAAAACACAAAATGCAGATAAAAGTCCTACATATGTATATATATATATTACCTATAATATGAAGAAATGTATAAAAAGAAACATACCTCTCTGATAGATAGGTCATACAATAGGGGGAAGGTATGGGTGGGATGGGAGTGGGAAGGAGGTGATGGTATTAGGAGAGGCAGAGATAAGGGAAAAACCTGGTTATTAGAAATAAAAACAAAGATGTCTATGATATAAATAGAATTTAGTCATGTGAAGTTATGCATTTATTTTTGTACACCTGCATAGAGAGATGTATGAAAGAAAGGTTGACTATCAAAATAGCAATAATGATCATCTCTGGGTGGTAGGATTTCAGATTACTTATATGTTAATCCTAATTTTTCTTCATTGTGTGGATTTAAAAAAAATGAATATGAAGTATACAATCAGAGAAAGCATTATGACTTTTCTTAATATTATGAACAATTATATTCTTTTTTAAAAGTTTATACTGCATTTACAGTTATTATAAAATACTGGCTATATTCCCCGTGTTGTACTAATTGTGAACTTATTGTGGAAAAATTTATGTGCCAGTGTAAGCTTACCCTTTAAAAAGAAACCCTAAAATATAGCTTTATCAGATCGATTTTTTATTTTCCTTCTGTATTTTTATTCTTTTCCTTATCTTTTCTCTCTTCCCATTCAGAACAATATTTTCAGTATAAAATTTGCAAAAAATCTTGCTTTAAACTTTTATTTATGTTTCCCATTTAGGTAAAACATTGATTTTTTTTCCCCCCCTCACATGCCAGGAAAAGTATGAGCTGATGTATCAGTTAGATTAGAGAAGCTGCCTTTGTAATACAAGAGGTACTACAATCCACTTCATGAATTGGAACAGAGAAGAGCTGAAAGGGACAGGAGGGAGAAACTTGACTGCTTTCTAACTCCTAATATTAGGTCTTCATAATTTCATTAATTAGGGTTTTCTGTAAGTGTTTTAAATTCTCAGGATATCCAACTAGCCATATTCAAAATAGCTTAAAAAGAATTTCCTAATCCAAATATGTCATAAGTAAATTGTGAGTATGCTTCTCTATTTTCATAGAAAGTCAAGAATTAAGTTCTTGGAAACATTTTTTTTTCTGTCAGTAGGTTTTTATAACAATAGCCATATGCTATAATACCCCTATTTCTGAGAAAATGAAGTATTAGTTATTGACCCACTTATCCCTTCAACAAAAATGTCTAAATTTTAACCATTTTTTATGTGAATCTTATACAATATATTATACACCTACACTTTTAGATGTGATAGGGTGGTGTGTGAGAATGTCTGTCTTTTGGAATGACAGACCTAAAAATATGTAGTGGGGATGACTTTCATAGATGGATTAATTTTGCTTTTGATTTTCAAAATCTTTAAAAATTTTCTTTTACGGTAGAGGTAAAAAGTTCTTGTTTCATAGAATGTCCTTATTTTCTTCAGCATATTACAGAAGAGATTACGGTCTGAGTGCCTGCTTGCTTGTGTTGAACATTTTAAAGATAGCCTTTATGTTGCCTGACTATTCTTATTTTCTTTCCTCTTTTGTGTTCAGATTCGCTCAATTGAAGGCCAGTATGGCACACTTCAAGCATATGTGACTCCAAGAATTCAACCCAAAACATGTCAGGTCCGCCAGTACCTTATCAAACCCCTTTCACTCCATCAAAGAACTCACTTTATTGATCATGACAGGTAGGACAAAGGAGGGAGAAGTTTATTTTTAGGATATTACATGATGCAGATAAAGTTGCTTTTTATTTTAGTAGTGTAAATTCTGGTAGCTAGTTGTACTTTTAAAAAATTAAATAAATATTTAAATGCTGTGTACAGGTTTCCCCCGCTATCTGAAAGTAGCATGTTCCTATGAAACCTTTCATAAGCCAAAATAGCATAAAGCGAAGAAGCAGTTACTGTAGGACACATCTTGATGATGGATGCTCAAAATAAATTGGGATAAAGCACAGATGCTCACAGACAGTTCAAAGCTATGTGGCCTGATGAGTGTAGTTCCTGGAGAAGGAACTCGGTGGGGCCGCTCTCAGTGCTGCTGGGGTACTTGCTGCTTCGGTAACAGCCGCTGCAGAACAAACGCTGAGGCTGTTTTTGCTTTTCACCTTTTTTGGTAAAAGCAAAAATCCTCTTTGGATTTCTCTTGGTTACCGAAAATGGGCACTCATGTAGGCCTTTTGTAAAAACAAAGTGGCATAAAGTGAACTTTCAAAAAGCAGGGGATACCTGTATTATTTCTAATAGACGTAAGAGTCTTTGTCTTCTTTTAGAGGCTGATTTGAGCTGGACTTTCCTATCTTTCTCATATATTTACCATTCTGAAATCAGTAGAGTAATAGTTCTCTGTCTCAAACATCTATCGTGAGAAAATACTGTTTAGCATTTGAGTTCTCTGTAAACAGGACCTTATTGTGTTAGCCTCAAACATTATATTTCCTTTCTACTTCACCTCAGGGAATACTGGTAGAGCAATTAGTTGTGATAGTCCCTATTATTTCTAACTTCCATTCCAACTTAATCATCCTCCTGGTTATAGTTTTTCACTTTCTTTTCTGAAAATGAGAGACCATGGCCTTAAATGAAGAAGGGAAAGAAATGAACAATTAGTGAATACTTGCTCTGTGCCATGCATTGTGCTCAGTGCTTAGGCGTTGCCATTTGAGTCTTACGGCAAAACAAGTAGTAATGTTTGGAAAAGTAAGTAACTTGTTGATATGAGAAACAGAGTGAAGATTTGAGGCCAAAGCCTATGTTTTTTCCTATTGCAGCTTGTAATTTTAAAGGTATGTAATTTAAATAAGATGTAAGGAGAAAAGTTCCTAAGGAAGGTTTTGGGAAAACATTAAAGAGAATGGATTCTCTGAGGGTGTCTTCCTGCTTAAAAGTCAGAGTTGTTAAAGGAGGTGTAGCGTGGTGTTCTGGAAAGAACAGCAAACTGGGACTCAGGAGACTCAGATTATAGCCTGATATCTGTTCCTACATGACTTCGGGAAAATAATTTAAGCTCTGGGCTTTAGTTCTCTCATCTGCAAATAGAGTTGGTGTGGCAATCTCAAAAGTCCTTTCTATTCTGTATTCTCTGAAAATTCTTTCTGTACCTTTAATTCCATAAACTTGCATTTTCTTAATTCTTTATCCATTTGATTTATTTTAAATTTATTTGATTTATTTTACAACCTTTTGTGTGTATGTGTAATTTGCAGATAGAAAGTTAATTCCATATCCCTGCAAAATAGAAGGTATCATTCCCTAACTTTACCAGTGGCGTGCAGCTAGTGTTTCAAACCCATGTCCATCTTACTTAAAAGCCCAATTCTTTGCCTTCACATTATGCTGATTTTTTCCTTTCGGAGATTCTTATGTTTTGTAGTTCCTATAATATAAACACTAGATGAACTTTTAAAAAATGGAATTTACCTGAGTAAACTGAATTGTATTTGTGAAGGCATGTTATAATGAAAACAAGCTATTTATGTCACTTAACTGAATATTAAAAGTACAGGTATAGGTAAGCATTCTTTTTTTTTTTTCCTTGAAATCAAAATGTTTCTCTGATGGGTAAGATAAATCGAGAAAAATTAAATGGCTGCTTTTCTATTTGTAACTACTGTTGCAAAATTCTGTTTTTTAATGTGTTGAGTACATATAATACCTCTGTGTATTCCCAGACAAATATGGGTACCTCTGCTATTTAATTGCAGACCCATGAATACACTGACTTTGACAGGCCAGTTCAGTTTTGCTGAACTTCACTCCTGGGTGGTTTTTTGCCTGCCTGAAGTTCCTGAAAAACCTCCAGCAGGAGAATGTGTGACATTTTACTTTCAGAACACCTTCCTGGATACACAACTTGAAAGTACCTACAGGTAAATAAAACTTATTCCTGGCTCACAAGTGTTTTTTACATAAATGGAACTTCTAAATTTTCATAAGTTTTAAGGCAGTAATAATTTGCAAATAATATGATTGAAAAACTATACTGTTTAAGAGAATCTTTGAAAAAACAAATGGAATTAATGAGTTTAAAAACTAATTGACTAAAGATGAATATGAAAGAGCAATACCTTTCCAATTCTCAGCCATAACCAGTTAGAAAATAAATTGTTTAAAAAGATTCTTTCAGAGCAGCGATAACAATAACAAAATGTTCATATAAAATCTGTAAGAATATTCTTTATTAGAAATACATAGAACTTCATGAAGAAAACTTTAAAATTTTATTGACATTAAAGACTTGATTTAATGGAGTAATATATTCTATAGTTATCAATATGAAGACAATGTAAACATGCAAGTCCTTCCCAAATTGATTTGAACATTTATCCTAATTCCAGTAAGAATTACCATTGAATTTCTTTATGCAAAAATAGGAAATGGCTCAAGAACTTGAGAGCTTAGAACATGCAGGCTTTTGAAGTGACCACATTGAGGTGAAGGTCATTATTCCTTGACACTCTTCTCAAGCTCCCAGTTGCCCTCCTGCCCACTTCACTGTCACTCCCTACTCATCTCCCATAGGCTCCCCTAATTTCTGTTTCTGAATATAGTAGAGGCTAAAATTTCCTTCTCCTTTGTTCTTTTTCTGAATGCGTTGGGTAAGGCTGGTTTCTCTACATCTGCTTTGAGCTTGTACCCTCATACTTCTTCAAGGTTTTTGCATTCTCATTCTCTCACATATGTAGGTTGTTTTTGTTTGTTTGATCTTTTGTTTTTTGTTTTTTTATTTTGTTTGTTTGGAGGGGAGGAGGTTTCTTATCTTCTCTCTGTCTCTGTCTCTTAAAGCTTCTCTCCCTAAGCAGTTTACTGAGGTATTCTACTTTCTGCTTCCTAGCTGAGACTTTACCATGCTAGGTTCTGGAAACAACAGTGAACACATAATTTTACCTCTGAATATAGCCTTTGGGACCAAGAACTCTCCAGAAATCTAATTGGTTTTAGCATCAGTTCTATGGGGGTGTTTCACTGTACCCTCCAGGGGACCTTACCTGTGTAAACCTGGAATCATGACTTCAGTTTTGAAGTACCACAGCGAACCTCACGTTTTAATCATAGCAGACAATTTGACAGGCCCCTGGCACACTACATATTTTTATAATAGCATACCTTTGCTTTTTACCATTCTGTGTCTTTAAATATTCTTTCCTTAATAGTCAAAACTCTACTTATTCTTCAAGGCCCAACTCAATAGGTACATTTTTTAAGTCTTCCTTGATTCTCTTCTCTGTTCCCATAACATTTTATTCTTACCTGCCTTAGGTTTTTATTGTTATTTTTTTGAAGTATATAATAATTTTTATGTAAGCTTGTCTGTAAATCAGATTGTAAGCTCTGGGCAGAGTTTATTTCTTAATTAACTTTGTATGTATCCTCCAAGTATCTAACACATGGCTTTGAACATAGTGGTACTCAATAAAGGTTTTTTGTTCCATAAAATACATATATATGGAAGAAGTATAGCAGCATGTACTTTGGAGACGGACATACTTAGGTTTGAATCTGGCTCTGTGACTCACCAGCTATTTGCTCTTAGCTACATTACTTAACTTTCTGGGTTTCAGTTTCTTTTCTGACGAATAGAAATAGTAGCACTTACTTCACTGAATTGTGATGCTTAAAGGAAGATAAACCACGTGAGTCATTCCACAGTGCCAGGTACTGCATAAGTATTTAATGTTAAATATTATTAATTAAAATTGAAGACTAGTGAAAAAAATCTCATGATTTCTAACACATAATTGGGATCAAAATAAGTGTGTATTATTCATCTTTCTAGAAAAAAAGAATTAGTATTTGCCTACAGCAGTCAATATAAAAGCAAATAAAAAGGCAACACTGAATATGTAAAAGATGGTATATATTAATTAGGAAAATTTTGGTCATCATAAAAAGGAACCAAACGTAAGCAAGCTTAACCAAATAAAAGGAATTTATTAGCTCATATAACTTAAAAGACTAGCAGTGGTCTGCTTCAAGCATAACTGGATCAATGGCTTAACTGATATTGTCAAGACTTTATCCCTTTCCATTGCTCAGCTCTGTTTTTGTCTTCTCTTGGCTTTCCTCTGTAGTGCCATGGTGGCCACCAACAGCTCCATCCAGCTTTATATCTTTTCAGCTGCCATAGCCTTTCTTTCCCACTAGTTCCAATAAAAGTCCCAGGATTGAGTATCATCGTTGAGTCGTGAACCACTGTGCTCAGGGGTATGGAATACGCTGCTGAAAACTTCCTCCTGAAGTCCCAGAAATGGGGTTGGGGCCAGTGCCAATGAAACTATATGGATTGAAAAGGGTGAGAGAGAAAGAGAGAGAGAGAAGGAGGGGTTCCATAAAGAAAAAGAAGGGTACTGTGAACATAAGAAGTGGCAATGGATGCTGGGCATGGAAGAACAGAAGATGTTACTCTTAGGTTTGATATTAGCTTTCTTTTAAGGATGAAGCATATAGTCATGCTGTAATTTATGTGATTACATAAAAAATCATGTGAAAGCAAGCAATTCTAAATGCATTTTATATACATAAGGGGTTAGCTATTGGAAATTTTATTAGTGAAAATGAAAAAAAGGTGTTTTAAATGAAGAACTTATATAAATTGTTGTATCTTTCAGAGGCATGTGTCTAACATCTTTTATTCAGTTTTACAAGTATGTTTAGAACTTGAATTGCTACAACAGTAAAAGGTTACATGTTTAAATATGTTTTACATTAATAATGAGATGTGTATATAAAGAAATCTAAAATTAAATGAAGTCTAAACACAAGGTCCTATTCGCAAAATATGTATTTACTGGACATATTTATTGGATGTATTTCCTTCTAAAGCTGTTCTTTTAAAAATATTAATTTTATAGAAAAGGTGAAGGAGTTTTTAAATCTGACAACATTTCTACTATATCCATCCTAAAAGATGTGCTCTCTAAAGAAGCTACAAAAAGGAAAATTAACCTCAACATATTATACGGTAAAAAAAAAAAAAAAGAATCATTCTTTCTGTTTTGGGGGGGGTTGTTGTTACAATAAGAATGTTCCTGATCAAAGTGACTTATCTAATTGTACCTGACTTAACTTCTTCTAGAGATAAATGAAGTATCAGTCAAACACACATTAAAGCTAATCCACCCAAAACTGGAGTACCAGTTGCTTTTGGCTAAGAAAGTGCAATTAATTGATGCTTTAAAAGTAAGTATTTGTGTCACGGGACTTATGATCATTATTTTATTGTGATGGGATTTCTAAAATTGTAAAGACCGTAAAGTTTTCCACTTTAAACTCACTTTACACTGGATTAAATTTTGAACATTAAGTGCTGCTGTTTTTAATTTTAAATAAGGAATTGCAGGTTCATGAGGGAAACACAAACTTTCTGATACCAGAATATCGCTGTATCCTGGAAGAGGCAGATCACCTACAGGAAGAATACAAAAAGCAACCTGCACATCTTGAAAGACTCTATGGTTAGTGAACTATTCTAGAATACCTTGTCATATTTCTTTTCTACTGGCTGTTTGCAAAGGATCACATGAGAGAAGCTGGGCAGAAGGAGACAGGCAAAGATTACAGCAGTCATGAACCAGTAACAACCCATGTACTGCCCAATATATTTATTTTGTCAAGTTGGTTTTAATGTTTAATATTTTTACTAGATAAAATACAAATAAATATTAAGAAGTGAAATAAGTCTAATGCAATGAACTAATCTATATATATGAAGAAACCCAGTGTGAAATGAATGTATCCTATGAAGCATTACAATTTAGGCTATATTTCACACAAATAATTTTCAGTTTTTATTGCTATTCTGAAATATCAAAATGCAGCATTTAATATTTTTATGCAAAATTTAATGGGGGTATATATGTGCTGTGTCAGTTTATGTTTAAAACTCATACTGCTTTGGTGGTGAGAAGTTGAATGTTTCACAGTTGTATTGAAAAAGCAAGAGCAAGAGGGAGGAAGGAAGGAACAGCTTAAGGAAACATTTTTTGTGATCTTTATGTAAGACCTATTGTGCATAGCACGCCTATTTATTTATAACATCTTTATAATCAGGGGGGATATTTAATCCTTCCAACAGCTCAGCAAGGTAGATAGTGTTATCTCTGGTTTTCACATCTGTAAACTGAAATCTGAGCTTAAGAATGTGTTGTCACATAGGTAGGTGGTGGCAAAGCCTTCATTAGAATCTCCTCGCCCCCAAATGCAAGCTTTTTGCACTGTGCCGAGTCTTCTGTAGAGTCAGTTGGTATCATCAGTCCATATTGATCCTTAAGATCTACCTAATGAATTTATTTTATGCCCAGAGACTTGCTCATAAACGGTAACAATAATATCTAATATCTTAATATCTACTATGTGGCAAACACATGATCTTTTATCCCCATTACAACTTAGAAGATGGGTGGTGCAGAACCACCATATCTTATCACCAATTCCACAGTCCAGAGAGCTTTGAAATCAAAAACTTTGTTCATAAATCATTTGGCAATAAATCTGACTTGATCTGAATTAATGACAAAACCTCACTTAAACTGATATGAGGTTATTTATAGTTTTTTTATTCCACTTAGTATGAATAGTCATATATTTTGTTGCAGAAATGTTATGTTTTGTTATCAGATGCTGCCACTCACTTTCCACGGGTATTACGCCACATATATGGTGTATTCCTTTTATTATCTTCCTAAAATGTGAAAAATTCTGAAACACATCTTGCATCAAGAGTTTTGGATAAAAGGTTGATAGCTTGAATTATTCCCACTCTATATATGCAAAAACTCAAAGGTGAAATAATTTACCCAGATCTTTGAAACTAGAAATATTTGCCGTCAAGTCAAATCCTAAGAATGGTCAACATATAGATCGGATATTTTAATTCAGATAAAGCTGTTATGAACAGAATATGTCTACACTATGTCAAAATGGTCAGCCTGGTGGAAAAAAAAACCCCACTTGTTGTAATTTTATATATACCAATAGCAGTTCAAAACTGGCCAGCAGTTGATTGTCTGAATTAATAGCTTATAGCCAATTGTTAAGAGGGTTATTAGCCACATGATTTATATTTTGAAACTTGCCTTAAAATCCCCCCCAAATATTTTTTAATGCATCAATCCTTTCAGATTTCTGTATGTTAAATAATGGAATTACAGGTGCTTAGAAATAAATTCTCAAGCAGTCGCTTACTTTCATTAAATAATGTGTCATTAATAGAATTAATCAATGACAGAAAATTAACATTTTTTCTTTATAGGCATGATCACCGATCTTTTCATAGATAAGTTCAAATTCAAAGGCACCAATGTAAAAACCAAAGTGCCTCTTTTACTGGAGATTCTGGACAGTTATGACCAAAATGCATTGATTGCTTTCTTTGATGCTGCGTGAAATATAAATAAGGTAAAGTTCCAAAGAAGTTGTATGTTTAAATGAAAAATGTTAAAATAGAATTGCAAGCTAACTGTATATACTTTTATTTCAAGTGCGTTTTTTAATATTATCTAAAAATATGTTATGACTTAGTAATGCTTCTATTTTTTTTTGACAAATGGAACTTTTTTTTTAATTTTTAAAATATTTATCAAACAACCCCTATATTGTTAGTATAGACATCGTGCAAGGTTAAAACATATTCAAACATCAAGATCCGCATTCAGGGCTTCCCTGGTGGCGCAGTGGTTGAGAGTCCGCCTGCCGATGCAGGGCACACGAGTTCGTGCCCCGGTCCAGGAGGGTCTCACGTGCCACGGAGCAGCTGGGCCCGTGAGCCATGGCCGCTGGGCCTGCGCGTCCGGAGCCTGCGCTCTGCAGCGGGAGAGGCCACAGCAGTGAGAGGTCCGCGTGAGTTCTAGAGGCTGGAAGTCTGGGGTCAAGGTGCCAGCGTGGTTGGGCTCTGGTGAGAGCTCTCTTCTTGGCTTGCAGATGGTTGCTTTCTTGTTGTGTCCTCACATAGCAGAGAAAGAGGAAGAGGAAGAGGAGTAAGAGAGAAAAAGAGAGAGAAAGAGAGACAGAGAGAGAGAGAGAGAGACAGAGAGAGACAGAGAGACAGAGAGAGAGAGAGAGGAGATTTTAAAACAAGTGGAATGATTATAAGGGATTTTAATGAATTTTTTTCAAGTGGATGTTTTATAATAATCATTGTATAAAATAATTATTTTATAGTAATTATAATGTTTATAATAATCGAGAACTATTATTTGGAAAATAAAAATATATTCAAATATTTAATAAGCTAACACACGTATGTATAAACTTTACAGTTTTCAAAATGTATTTACGTATGTTACCTCATTTGATTTTTTTAATGTATTTTTGGCTAATTATTATTTTTTTAATTAATTAATTAATAATTTTTTTGCTGTGTTGGGTCTTCACTGCTGCGTGCGGGCTTTCTCTAGTTCAGCGAGCCGGGGCTACTCTTCAGTGCGGTGAGAGGGCTTCTCATTGTGGTGGCTTCTCTTGTTGCGGAGCATGGGCTCTAGGCACGCAAGCTTCAGTAGTTGTGGCTCACCGGCTCTAGAGCGCAGGCTCAGTAGTTGTGGCGCAGGGGCTTAGTTGCTCTGCGGCATGTGGGATCTTTCTGGACCAGGGATCAAACCCGTGTCCCCTGCATTGGCAGGTGGATTCCTAACCACTGTGCCACCAGGGAAGTCCCTCCTCATTTGATCTTGACAACATATATTGATTATTTTGTCAAATCATGTAAGAAAACTGATTCTCAGTGAGGTTAAGTGTTTAAGAGGACATGCTATTATTTTGTAAAGGTGGAACCCAAGTTCTGGTGCCTGGATTGCATTCTGGTTACTATGTATGTTGTCAACCAGGGGAAATAACATAAATTTTTTTTAAGGAATTGAGATTGATTTACAATTGATTTTGCTGTTGCTTGGTAATGTTTTGTGACCCATGCTCAGTTGGTAAAATACTTGAGTTGGCCAGGGAAATCAGCAGAATTTGCACAGATTGGGGGGATCTTAACTTGATGTGCTGTAACCAGTAGGGCTATACAAGTATACTACATGTGAATAGTGTCGAAATAGTGACAGCTTCTTAGATTTTCCTGCACTAATATCCACTGTTTTCTTTTTTATCATAAATGGAGGGAAATATGACTTTAAGGCTATGGAAGTCATTAATCTTAATTCATATTTTATTCATATTCAGGTGAATATTGTACTTAAAGGTTGTTTAAAATAGCATAAGGATTACAATAGAAAATAAACTATTCTGTGTGTTTTCAAGAAGGGCACACTTATGAATTTGTTGGAAAACAACAGTGCTTCTTAATTATATACCATTATATTTATTAGTTATGTGCAAGCCTTGTATATTAAATGTGAAAATTTGTTAAAGGCACATATTGCTAAGAGAGTTTTACTTTTATAAGGTCATATTGCTTTTACTATGTTTAAACAACCTTCATTTCTAAATGGAACACATAATTATATCTAGGTCACTAGAATTTTACTCCGAGCTTTTTGTCGGCTGCCACACCTTGGGGAGAAAAAAGAGATAAAAATTAATGACTGTCTAGTTGAATTTCTTGTAGTACATTACTGTTTGTTACATATATCAACAGTAGTTCAAGGTGGCACTTTAAATTAATTGCATCTTCATTAGGAAAAATAAAAAGCATAAGACTGTGAAGAAACACCTAAATGGTAAGATGACATTATAGTCTTTCAATATTATATCAGTTACATAAGCAGCGTGTTAAATGACTTATGCACGTTATTTAATACTAACGACAACTGTATAACGCGTAGATATCATTCCCAATTAACAGATAGGAAAATTGAGAATTGGAGACACTGAATAACTTGAACAAGACCACCAGGCCAGTATGTGGCCGGATCAGATTTTAGACCTTGAGAAACTAGTCAGTCAAGCTAACTGGAGGTCCTAGGGCAGAAGGCCGGGGCGGCCCGCTACTAATTGCTAAAGTTTAATTCAGTTTATCCTAGAGACAGCCCTTACCCCGAGACGGGGACCGCCTAGCGGCCCCATTTAAAGTCACAGTAGACTTAGGCCCCGCCTCCCCGCCGGGCGCGCGTACTTCCTCCTGCCGCCGTTCGACGTCTCTTCGCCCCGCTCCGCCCCTGCTCGGTTGCCTTCGCAGCCGCCTTCACTCGCCTGCGACCGCGTCGCCCCGAGTGACGTCACGGGCCTCGGCCCTTTTCATTGGTCCATTTCAATAGTCGCGGGATACTTGAACTGCATGAACAGCCGCCGCTCCGGCGGGCTGCTCGCTTCATTTCGGGGGCGTCTTTGGTCCTCCACGTCCGGCAGTGCCTGTCTCCGCCTTTCGCAACCTCCTCGGTCGTACACGATCTCGAGCGGGCCAGCGGGTGGGTAGGCTGGCCCGAGCTGCGGCGGGCGGGTACAGCTGGAGTGTACCTAGGCTGATCGGCGGGACGCAGTGCACGCTGCTTGGCGCCGCAGGCTGATCCCGCCGCGCCCCCGGGAGCAGTGATGTTGGGCAGCTCCGCGCCCGGGCCTGCGGCCCGCGAGGCAGGCTCGGCGCTGTTAACATTGCAGCAGACGGCGCTCCAGGAGGACCAGGAGAACATCAACCCCGAGAAGGCGGCGCCCACCCAGCAGTCCCGGACCCGCGCTGGGCTGGCGGTACTGAAGGCCGGGAACTCGCGGGGACCAGCGCCGCAGCAGAGGCCTAAGACGCGACGGGTAAAGCAGTGAGCCGTATCTGCAGGAGGGTGGGCCGAGCGGGAGTTTTGCATGGGTTTAGCCGGCAGAGGAGAGTGGCGAGAAAGCATCCCCTGGCCTTTTCGCGGGAAGCCAGGATCTGGAGTCCCTTGATCCCTGGTTTTCTGGAGTGTAGGATGCCACATTACTCCCATTAGTTTCTCCCATTACTCTCCCTGCCAGCACTCTGCGTTTGTGCTGGCTGTCCGCTCTCCTCCATTGGGAGTATTTTTCTATAGATAACGAAGTCAAACCAAGCCCTACAACATGAGTATGGCCTTTGTCCACCTCCACGCCTTTCTCTCTGCTTTTAAGCCCCAGGCACTGCTCGGACTTCCTTCATCCTCCCCATATGGTTAAGAGATTACCTCTGCTTTAGGAAAGGGTATAAAAAATACTTTGCTTTTGGTCAATTCCGCCATCTTACCGAATTTGCTCTGTTGCTCCACCCTGGGGCGAAAGAGGTAAACCACTTTTTTGCCATCTCTCCTAAATTTGGCATTTTTCGCCCTGCCACTCCACCCATCTCGTGGCCTTGATTAGTTTTGCCCAATTCCACTTAATCTGACCCTAAAACCGTTGCAGGAATGCCTGTGACAAATTGGAACATCCCTTCTTTCTCCAACTGACTACTCAAATTTCCTTGTCTGGATTTTCCCCCCTAAAGTTTAATTTTCCTGATAGAGTAATTGGGAGTAAATGCAGTATAAGGGGATGAAAGCAGAACAAAATTCCACTTAATAGGCTCAAAGCCAGTTATTTATTTTTTAGGTTGCACCTCTTAAGGATCTTCCTATAAATGATGAGCATGTCACCGTTCCTCCCTGGAAAGCAAACAGTCAACAGCCTGCATTTACCATTCATGTGGATGAAGCAGAAGAAGAGACTCAGAAGAGGCCAGTTGAATCTAAAAAACCAGAAAGTGAAGATGTCTTGGCTTTTAATTCAGCTGTTACTTTACCAGGACCGAGAAAACCACTGGCACCTCTTGATTACCCAATGGATGGTAGTTTTGGTAAGTTTTAAAAAAAAATTGTATCAAATCAATGTAATCATAATTATTGAATAGACTGGATTAATGAAATTTTGCTTTTCAAAACATGATCTTACCTGATCCTTAACTACATTATGAGTTAGGTTTAATGTAACAAGTTTAGAAAGGGTGTGACTTATCTCAGGCCTCACAGCTAATCCAAGACCCAGTGACCCACAGAAGGATCCTAATCCTGTGCTCCTGGTACACTGCTAATCACATCAATTTCATTAGATCTCAGACTTATTTTAATCTGACCCTGGAAATGTTTGCTTGATTGGGAGAATATATTTCAGTTGTGTTACTTTGTACATACCATTCTCAAATAGAGTGCTATTTGAGAATGCAGCTTTAAATACTGAGATAGCCAACATCTCTTCCACCTTTAAAACTTTGTTTCTGTAAAATCAGTCTGAGTGATTGTCTGATACCAGAGAGGGACATTGTCCTCCTGTGGGTCAGAGTAGCTGCTATAGACAACTCTGACTACAGTTTGTGCTGCTTCTTTACCATCAGGCTATCGAGTCACTGGACAGCTCACTAAATTCAATCTCAGCTTTAGTTCTGTAGATGAGAGGTATAGCAGCGAAGTCCTATGGAAATAAAATAATTGGTGTATTTTTATTTAAAATCTGCAACAAATTTTAAACCCAAACCTTGAAGTAAAAAGAATAATGGATATTTTTTGCCTTCAAAGATAATTTAAATTTACCAAAAAAGAATCACCCATTGATATTAGTGTTAATGTGTTTGAACTGCCCATAAGAAATCTGAGTTTCTCTTTAGCACACTTGTTAGCCCTACTTCTAGTTATTGCCTGGATTGTGCTTTGAATGTTAGACTTAGGGGTCTGCAAACTCTCTTTTGACAAATCCTAGATATCTCCAAACTTGGATTTTAACTTTGTCCTAGCAAAACCAGTGTACTCCTGTCATGGGAGATGAAGACACTTCAATACCTGCTCCTCTAACTCATTTTCCTGTTAATGGTTTGTCAGTACTTTTTCTTGTTAATTAAAATCATTCCAAAACTAAGTGGACATAGGTACTAAAATCAGAGTTAAATCTTCTATGTACTTTGTCATAACAAGCTCTTTTTAGTTGGATGAAATAAACACATTGGTAGTTTGGGACTCCTTACAAGGGCAATCACTTTTAGCTCTTAAATTAAGTCAAAAATGAAAAGTGAACTTCACTGTACTTTTGAATTCTCCTAGAGTCACCACATACTATGGATATGTCAATTGTACTGGAAGATGAAAAGCCAGTGAGTGTTAATGAAGTACCAGACTACCATGAGGACATTCACACATACCTTAGGGAAATGGAGGTAAAGGCTCTCTGAATCTACTTTTTACACTATTTGTTCACTGTGGTGAAAGGAAATTAAGAGGATAATGTTTTTAAGTTTTTTAACTGCCACTGAATTACTCTAATGCTATACTTAAGTTTCTAGCATATAGGCAGCATCTGTTAATGGTAGAATAATCTAACTGCAGTTTTAACACTATACTAAGTAACCTTCTCAACAGGTTAAATGTAAGCCTAAAGTGGGTTACATGAAGAAACAGCCAGACATTACTAACAGTATGAGGGCTATCCTCGTGGACTGGTTAGTTGAAGTAGGAGAAGAATATAAACTACAGAATGAGACCCTGCATTTGGCTGTGAACTACATTGATAGGTTTCTTTCATCGATGTCTGTGTTGAGAGGAAAACTTCAGCTTGTGGGCACTGCTGCTATGCTGTTAGCCTCGTAAGTACAACTTGGTTTGTTGGGTTAAAAGTGATTAGTAGTATCTTTCTGTGTAGGGAAGAAATTGTGATCTTTTAAAATATGACATTTTAACATACTATACAAGGCAGGGAGTCAGCGACTACTTTAGGGATGGTGGAGTGGATGAAACTTTTTAAATTTAGGACATTAATTTTCCTAGATCTGGATTTCAGGGCACCTTGAATGAACCTACAGATTGGCGACATTTTAATACACCAGGACTAGGTTACAGAGTGGTTCCTTCTACTTTAAAGTACTTTCTGGTATATAAGCAAAATCTTATCTTTTCTCCATTAAGACATGAAAACTAAAATGTAAATTATTTATTTTTCTAAGGAAATTTCCTACATTTTCAGTTACTTGGTGAACTCTGGCATTGTTCCCATCTTGGGAAGTCAGTCTCTCACTTACTTCCTTTGACTGAAGTGGGAGAAATATTTGGGGCTTTTAATTAGCATTTACCTAGTCTTGGCTAGAAATGGTCAAGTATCAGTGCAAACAGGCAACTGGTTTTGGATTCGTTCCATTCATTCTGCTTAAGGGATTTCAAGTTGGGACAAACAAGCTTGCTTTTCTTATAAAAGGACTGATTACTTAAAACTTCTTTCATTGTAGAAAGTTTGAAGAAATATACCCCCCAGAAGTAGCAGAGTTTGTATACATTACAGATGACACTTATACCAAGAAACAAGTTCTGAGAATGGAGCACCTAGTTTTGAAAGTCCTTGCTTTTGACTTAGCTGCACCAACAATAAATCAGTTTCTTACCCAGTACTTTCTGCACCAGCAGTCTGCAAACTGCAAAGTTGAAAGTTTAGCAATGGTAAGTTCTTTTCATTTTGCTGAATGAAGATTCTAAGGTCACAATTCGGGGCAAGCTCTAGTTTCATTATACAGCCTTGGTCAAGGGATTTAGTATTCTGGGGACAGGTTAGTGCTGCAGCATGAAAGAAAGCCTACCATTGGCAAAAGAAAACATAAATGGAGAAAGCACTAGGAATAGTGGTATGAGGAGGAAGTCTTGGTAAATGGTAGCCAGAAGAGTTTGTTTTTAAAGCTATTAAAGGAGGAAAAATACAGGATGAGAATGAAGCAAAATATGATAGTGAATATATTTAAAGATGTGGCAATGGTTGCTACAGAGCCAGTCTTAAAGATAGTAAAATATTCGGTCAGAAGGTAAGGATTTGAGTTTTGAATTCCAGAGCTCTTATGATCATAAAGTATATTTACTTTTTCATTCCAGTTTTTGGGAGAATTAAGTTTGATAGATGCTGACCCATATCTAAAGTATTTGCCATCGGTGACCGCCGCAGCAGCCTTTCATTTAGCACTCTACACTGTCACGGGACAAAGCTGGGTATGTATGACGACGTCCTCACACACCCACCTTGTGCTGTAAGTGCTTGTGCCAGATAGGTTAAATAACTGTCCTATACCACTGACAGTTGTCTAGATGTACTGAACTGGAAGAGCTATTCAGCCACGTACACTGTTGAAAGCATTCTGTCTTACCTGTTTAATAGCATCTGTTAGGTAGAAAGCTTGGTTCCTATTAATGCTTGGATTTGAAAGGTGTGCTTAAAGAATTCAGGCCATAAGACTTGCTGTTGGCAAGGAAAATAGTAAAAATTGATCGAAGTTAGCAACAAGAGCTTGAGAAAACTGGAAGATGTTAGTTGGAGGTGTTAGGACAAAACTCAAGCCAACTAATGCCAACTACTAACTTGTATTCAGTGTCTGCTACTGAAAACAAAACTCAGTGGTTCCGTCCTCCCTCCTGCAGCCTGAATCATTAGTACAAAAGACTGGATATACGCTGGAAACTCTAAAGCCTTGTCTCATGGACCTTCACCAGACCTACCTCAGAGCTCCGCGGCATGCACAACAGTCAATAAGAGAAAAGTACAAAAACTCAAAGTAAGAATTAACAGCAGTAGATACCAAAGAAGCTTGCTTTTCCAGGCTATCGTACGGTTCACAGATCCTTGACATTTTAACTTTATTTAAGGGATTCACAAGTCAGGCACAGCCTCCTTAAGCAACTGTTCTCTTAGCAGCCACGTGTTTTGAGCTTCTGTCTTGTATTTGAGGGAGAAAAGGGGAGAGGAACGGTGGGCATGCATGCAAGTGTTGGGGACCAGACTATAGTTTTATAACCATTAATTCAAGTAGACAGAAATAGCATTTGTGAGTTCCTAGTATATGTTTCATTCCATAATCTGTTTCACCCAATGAATGTTTACTAAAAATGGATTTTTTTTTCCCTGCTTACAGGTATCATGGTGTTTCTCTCCTCAACCCACCCGAGACACTAAATGTGTAACAGTGAAAGACTGCCTTTGTTTTCTAGGATGTAAATCACTCAAAGTATATGGTGTACAGATTTTATCTTAGGTTTTAATTTTACAATCATTTCTGAATACGGAAGTTACGGTCAAGTACAAATTATGGTATCTATTACTTTTTAAAGGTTTTAATTTGTATATCTTTTGTACATGTAACTATCTTAGATATTTGGCTAATTTTAAGTGGTTTTTGTTAAAGTATTAATGATGCCAGCTGTCAGGATAATAAGAAATAAATTGATTTGGAAAATTTGGTTTGTAAGTCAAATTTAATTTGAGGCAAAAATTTGACTTCAGGATTTCACTTAGAAAAATTAATTTGGTTTATTAAAGCATGGGGACAGGGAAGGCTTCTCCTTCCAACACACAGGTGATGACATTCACCTCCCTAAGGAACTGGGCCAACTGTCTGACTTGGGCATAATCTAAGAAGACTCTTTCAGGTCTTTGTACACACTATGAAAATGCTTTTCATTCATCGGCTTTTACTACACTTGACCTACCAAAGTGACAGTTATTTAAAGAGTCCTCCAGACGTTTATTTTAAAGCATAATGTAAAAACTGTATAAAGAACTAGATTCTGTAATGGGTTTGTGAATAATACCCAAGGTTGTTAGCACTGAATAAATACCTTTTTAATAGTTATATACACAAATATACAACTATGTGAACTTTAATTAGCAGCTCTCTTCTTTTTTCTCTTTTTCACTGGCTTTTTACTTGGTGCTTTTACTTGTGTTGCACTGATGGTCTGTGTTCTGTGAACAAAGTAAATTAACAAGTTTTAACAGTATTAGTACTAGGAGTTTACTTTTGCCACCTATGAACAGAAGAATACTGTAACCTTGAAAGGCACCCAAGCAGTTTTACAGACCTAATTCTATAAATCTCAGGTTGAAGAAACCCAGAGAGCAAGCTTCTAAAAAGTCTTGAGTATATGTATACATTTGAAATAAACCAGAAATTTGTTACCTTATTTTCTTCGGATTCTTATCTGGTTCTAAAATGATCATTTCTTCTTCTTCACTGTCTGAGAGCACTATAGGGGCATCTTTTAAGAAAATGTTAAGAAAGGAATATAAGTTTCAGATAGAGAGCCCAAGCAGCATTTTGGGTGGAGGCTTACAGATCTACTATTTGGTTCTTCCCTTCCCTGAGGTTATTCCTTGGAGCTCTGAAAAACCTTATGTGTGCTTCTTTAATAGAATTAAAATGAGGGGGATAATTCTACATACGTGTGTGTGTGTGTGTGTGTGTCTATATATACACACACACACTATACACACACACATAGAGCATCTTATAGAACCAATTTGGAAACAAGTCAATATGCCAACTGAATTCCTTGTGCTACTCCTTGAATTTGTTAATTTTGAAGATCTAGATTTTAAATTTCTCCCTATTATAAACAACACTAAAAGGAAAAACACCTAGAAGCAGAATTCCTGGGTCAAAAGGCATATACCTTCCGAAAGACATTTTTGCCAGATCCCTCCAGAAATGTTTCAATTTACACTCCAAGAATAGTATATTAACCCATTTTCCTATACACCCTTGCCAATGTGTTTCTGGCCATTTGTATTTGGGAATGCAAATACAAATAGGAACAGAAACAAAAAATGGGCAAAGGAACAGAAACGTCTGTTTCTGTTCTTTTGTCCATTTTCCCCATGAAACTTACTACATTAATTCTTTATATTTAAATAGTTTTCAATTACTTTCTCCCTATTAGAAAAATTTCACAAATATATAAAGGCATATGGAGTTTAAAAAAAAAAGTTAACATCTATCAATAAATAGTCCCTGTGTTTAAGCAGCTTATGTTGGTGTAAATATATAGTAAATACATGGAACGAGGTCTGGAAGACTACTACTAAATAGAAGTAACCACTGGGGAAGCTGAATAAGGGTCCCAATTAATGGGGAATTTTTTTTTTTTTTGCCTTACAAAAAACCCCAGCAGGTCCTCAGTAATATTTACAGGCAGTGATCTTCCTTGAAGGCAGGCAGGTATGTGCATTACACACCAAAACAGTATCACCTTCACTATTTTCTCAGCCAGATTTAATAGCTGCATCCTTTAGTTCTCCACCAACCTACTTCCTAGATCGCTCCTTGTTTATTAAAATTTAGAATTCTTCACACAAGCCACATTTCACTGCTCAGTAGCTACATGTGGCTAGTGGCTACTATGCTGGACAGTGTAGAGACTGAACATTTCTAACACTGCAGAAAGCTCTATGGATGGCAGTACTCTAATATACGTTATGATACTGCCTTTTTATGTTTGAGTCTAGAAACTATACAAAGAAAAAATAGCACACAGGAATGAGATTTTAAGAAACTCATCCCCTTAAAACTGGCCCGGATAAGATACAAAAAAAAAAAAAAAAAAAAACTTAAAAATAAAAAATGCCACTCCCTTCACATACCAAAGAATACCACTATTCCTCAAAGATAAGCATATTCTTGCAGTTAGCCTCAACAGTTTAGTTGAAATTTAAATTACAAAATATTTAGCCCCAACTGCTAATATAAAAATAAGATTCCTAAAATAGGGATATATATATATATGTGTGTATATATATATATATATATATATATATATTACATATAGCCATAAAGTATTACATACCTTGGCTTCCAATATTAGAGACTTCTCCCGTGTCCATTTTTATACTATCAAGAATAATAGCTTCATCACTGCCACCTTCATCTTCCTTCTCAGAGTCTTCAAGATCACCCCAGGAGTTTTCTATTCCCTCTCCAATTTGGGCGGTTCCAGGAGTCCACAGCACAGGTTTCGAAACACTTAGCAAGTTAAGAAAACTGAATAACAGAAATACTGCTATTTGATGCAGTGCTGAAAATGATTAGAATGAAAGTTTTCTTCCTTTAAGATTGATTGAAGTGTGCCTCAAATTATTAGGAAAAAATTTACTAATAGCTATACTATGGATGGCTGGACAGTGAAGAAGAAATAGTGTATAACTCAGGTTAAGATTTTATGGACACAATGGGTGAGAAATATCAAGAGACACACTTGCTCTGAACATTTTAGTTGCAGTAATAAATCTGATGAATGAATGAACTTCAAGGACAATGTGGGGACTTCCCTGGTGGCGCAGTGGTTAAGAATCCGCCTGCCAATGCAGGGGGACATGGGTTTGAGCCCTGGTCCAGGAAGATCCCGCATGCTGCAGAGCAACTGAGCCCGTGCGCCACGACTGCTAAGCATGCGCTCTAGAGCCCGTGAGCCACAGTTACTGAAGCCCGAGCGCCTAGAGCCCGTGCTCCACATCAAGAGAAGCCACCGCAATGAGAAGCCCGAGCACCACAACAGAGTAGCCCCTGCTTGCCACAGCTAGAGAAAGCCCACGTGCAGCAACGAAGACCCAATGCAGCCAAAAATAAATACATAATAAATTTATTAAAAAAAATAAGAACAATGTGTATAATGTATAGTGTCTGACCATGCCAGTGAGATTAGGGAACAATTTTCCAAAGGAAAATGAAATGCTGTAAATTGCTTCTTAAAATAAAAGAATTTTCTGGTTTTGGTAGGATAGCTGAAGAGAAGGTAGATGTTACACCATCAATTTAATATGACTCATCACTATCTTGTCTCATATCTTAAATGTTTTTTTCTAACAAAGTACAGTGTTTCAGAAAACAAATTTCCATATGCACATGCTTCACAGAGCCCTAATAATACCCAAAGTGTTATGAATCTTCTTGTTTTTACCAAAAACACCCAGGAAAGATACACTTCTGAAGGAGGTTCAGCTTCAGAGATGATTTCTTCTGCTTTCTCCTCTACATCGGAGGTATCAATAGGGGCCTTTTCCATTCTAAATGCTGTGATCCTTTGATTTGCTATAGATTCTGCAAAGCCAAACTTTCCACCTTCTTTCCTGTGTGCGTTTTTTTGGGGAGTTGGGAAGGAAGGGGGAATGAGAGATGGGAGAGAAGACAGGAAGGGAAAAAAAAGTTAACTATTTTATCCTTTTGATACATGAGAAATATTGGATGAGAAACTATTTGACTAACTTAACCCCACCAATTTATTATGCCTATCAAGTGAGATAATAAAAAGTTACTATAATTAACCATTTATTAAACCATGTGTCAAGCATGTGTTATGTACTTAAAGCAGAAGACACTGAAGTGCTGAGATATAGCTGTTGCTTAATGTCACACAGTAAGAAGAGATGGGAATCAACCCCAGTTTGTATTCTTTCTGTTAACATGAGCTACTGGATTCTTTTTTTCCTAAGAAAATGTTAACTTTTTAAATGAAAAATATTGTGTGGCTTTTTAATACAGATTATGTGTAAACTGGAATACAATAAATAGTTCAATCAACTTTCAAAAAACATTTAGTATATTCAACTGAGATGAATAGATAAGGAAAGACTGAGTGTAAAAACTGTAGAGTTATGCTTGTGCGAGAAAAATCCTCAACAGAAAAATCTATAACAGGACCATTCAGTTCTAAAAAAATCAAACTTACCTAACTTTCTGGTCGTTCGCCAAAGCTTTCTGTATTAGCTCTGTAATTTCTGCTACCTTCACACCAGCTATTTTACTACATCTCAAAACCTATTTATAAAAGTGAACTCTGTTATTTACGGACAACAAATCAAGTAGCTTTCTCTAACAAAACTAAAAACATGAGATTAGTTTTTCTACCTTTGCAATTTAAGCCTTTAAAATATGAAAATAATACAGTGTAAACACAAATTAAGGCAAGATGTGAGAGCTATTTTTATTTATTTTTATTTATTTATTTTTATTTATTTTTTTTGCGGTACGCGGGCCTCTCACTGTTGTGGCCTCTCCCGTTGCGGAGCACAGGCTCCGGACGCGCAGGCTCAGCGGCCATGGCTCATGGGCCCAGCCGCTCCGCGGCATGTGGGATCTTCCCGGACCGGGGCACGAACCCGTGTCCCCTGCATCGGCAGGCGGACTCTCAACCACTGTGCCACCAGGGAAGACCGTGAGAGCTATTTTTAAATGTTAAAGGAACTGACCCAAAAACTCTTCTATGACAATGTAGAAGATACCACTCAAGAGGCCACAGATACACTAACTTCCTTTCTGTGAGTGATCCATAGCTCTGTTCAAGACAGGGCTGCACAGTGTCCCCCAGAAAGCTTTTATAAAGTGAAGATTCCCAGGCCTCAGGGACCTAATGAATCAGAATCACTGGAAATAGGGATCTGGCAGTGGTCATGATGCTGGTAATA